ACGCAAATGCACCTTCCACGCATTTCGCCTCCAGGCGAAAGTTTACAACATTTCCGAATATTTTTCGGAAGCTTGCCCTTGCCGAACTTTGTTATCTCGCAGCCGAAAAGAGGATGGCCAACTCGTTTGCCCACAATGGTGTTGGAAAAGCAGACCGAAGAGTACCGCATCACGTGTCAGAACAGCGAGAACAACACACTAGGAAGCCCCTTTTGAAGTAGCCCCGTCTCTCTCTCACTCACGGCGCGGCCCGCAAGGCTGCGAGAGAGACGACGGCGCGCGGAATTAACCAGCCGGCAGCTCATCTCATTAATTACCAGCCTAATTATCCTCCGGACGGCTCGGGCCGCCAACTAGAGCGTGGCCGCCCCGCCCCGCCCCGCCCCGCCCCGCCCCGCCCGGAGCGCGCTGGAGTGGCCCGGGCGGTTGCGTCCGCAGTTCCGCGTGCGAGGGAGTCTGAGGGAGTCGGCTGAAGTCGGCTTGTTTGCCCCTTCGTCTGATTTGCCGTCGTCTGCTGTTGCGGCGATCGCCTACGAACGCAATCGGAACTTAACGGACTGATTGGACTGTACAGACCAGGGCCGGACTGGCTAAGTCAGGGCCCCGGTCGCAGTGTGAGGTCAAGGGCCCCCTTTCCCGATGCGTCCATTGTTTTAAATTTACTAGCCAGGGGAGGGTAATCCGTGTTTGCTGACTTTGGGCGGCCACTGTGTCCAATCTAGTTGACGTAAAACGCCTCCCTCGACGCCCTAGTATTCTTAAGACCCTACTCTTTCATGCCCTGTATCGGGAAGACGTTGACCACAACGATTTTGCCTTTGACCGCAACGATTTTGGGACCAAAGTTGGTCAAAAAGTGGTCGAGTCTCGGAAATTTGCTGATTTGCTGACTTTGGGCGGCCACTGTGTCCAATCTAGTTGCCGCAAAAGGCTTCCCTTGACGTTCTAGTATTCTTAAGACCCCACTCTTTCATGCCCTGTATCGGGAAGACGTTGACCACAACGATTTTGCCTTTGACCGCAACGATTTTGGGACCAAAGTTGGTCAAAAAGTGGTCGAATCTCGGAAATTTGCTGATTTTGCTGACTTTGGGCGGCTACTGTGTCCAATCTAGTTGACGTAAAAGGCCTCCCTCGATGTTCTTGTATTCTTAAGACCCTACTCTTTCATGCCCTGTATCGGGAAGACGTTGACCACAACAATTTTGCCTTTGACCGCAAAGATTTTGGGACCAAAGTTGGTCAAAAAGTGGTCGAGTCTCGGAAATTTGCTGATTTTGCTGACTTTGGGCGGCCACTGTGTCCAATCTAGTTGACGTAAAAGGCCTCCCTCGACGTTCTAGTATTCTTAAGACCCCACTCTTTCATGCCCTGTCTCGGGAAGACGTTACGGACGTTACGGATTGTGCTAACTGTACGGTCCCGGCGGCTCTAAAGGAGAACGACTGTCCTCGATCAGAGACTTGGCGAGACTCGACGTGAGTGAATGTACTGGGGCGTGGGCGAGCATTCCAAAGTGTGTATGCCGCGGACAGACAGACACACAGACCGACGAACGGACGGACTATGAGGCAGGGAAACGCCCCGGGTAACTGGACTGCAGGGCTAGCCGGGCAAGCGCCCGCATTCAAAGTACCACCTGGAGCAACATCTGGAACACCTACACTTACACTTGGCTCTTGACTAGCTGAGCGGAGAGAGAGAGAGAGAGAGAGAGAGAGAGAGAGAGAGAGAGAGAGAGAGAGAGAGAGAGAGAGAGAGAGAGAGAGCGGCGCTAGCTGCACCCATTCAGGCTCCACGTGACCGGCATGACGGACCAGAAGACACTTTCTCTTATTTGCAATAGGCAATCGGCCTGGGCTGGCGCCGCGCCGCGCACCAACGCCACGGGCAACGCCGCGCTGCAGGCTGTGTCTATCGTGCCCATCCAGTGATGCCAACCGAATAGAGTCCCAAAACGTCGCGACCGCAACAGCTGGAGAAAGCGGCAGGCCGAGGCAGGCAGGCTGTGGCGCATCGTCGTCACGATGAAGGCATGCCTGCAGGACCCATCCCACTACCAAACACGCAACCAAAACACAAAATTAATTAAAAGCAAAATGGCATCGTGAGCGTCGGCCTTGCGTTGGCTTCGGCTGTGCTCCGCGGCGTGTCAAAGGCGGCCGGTTGCACACACACACACAAGTCGGCTCGGACGTGCGTGAAAAACGCGGAGCGCTCAATGGGAAATTATTCATGATTTGGATCTGGAAGGTTGCCGCCCTGCGCAATGTCACTCCCTCGGCATCGGTACGCGTACCCGGTACTGGCGGGGCGGGGCGGGGCGGGCCGGTGCTATGGTCGCTGCGGGCGCCCGACCTTGGTCTCCAAAGCAAAACCACACAGCCGCTACACCAGCAACAACAGCCCCGCAATAACGAGTTGCATTAACGTTCTTTTTGTTGTTTTTTTTCTCTCGTCGTTTCGTTGGTATTTGCGCGGTGGTGGCGCCGTTTAGAGCGGGAGGTGTTTTCGGCGACCACGGCGACTCTTCCCTGCGGTCGAAAAATAAATTGGCATGTTTGTGTGTGTGTGTGTTTGTGCGCGCGCCTCTGGGAGGAAAGTGTTTTATTGGATGTCTGGCCATGCTGGCTTTAGGGGCCTACCCTCCCTTTGTGTTGTTCCTGGAACCCCGGCAGAGTGCTCCGCGGGTGCATTGACACGATCGCGTCGTCGGGGACCCCGATGACCCGTGGGCCCGTGGGGCCCGTGGGTGTGGCGGCTGCACTTGGCTTCGGGTCCGTGCGTCCGCCTGTCTGCCGCGCTGCCGCGCTATGCAACGCAGCGGGCGGCAACCCTACACAGCCCACGCCGCCCACCTCCGCCGCGCGAAAACGGCGCGTTTTGTGTAGGGTTGCCAACCGCGGAATCGGCTATTTTATTTATCGTTGCGGCATGACGCCGGGCTGGGGGACATTGTTTACGAGAGTGGCGCGGCCATCTCCATGCGAATCCCCCTCCGAGTCTGTGTGTGCGTGTGTAAGTGCGTGTCGGTGTGAGCGTGATTTAAGTTGGCAGCTCTGCGCGCGCTCTGCGTGCACTGACCCCCAACTCGTGGAGCTGCAGGTTTGACGCCGCTCTCACCTTTTAAGGGCGGTAATCGTCCACGGCGTAGGCACGGCGGAGGCGTTGGCAGTCCTGGCTGCCGAGGCCCTCGCCGAGGCTATCCCTCTGGCGCTCGCCTTACGGCCGAAGACAGCCGCCACGCCCCGCCACGCCCCGCCACGCCCCGGCCGAGCCCGCCAAGGACGTCTGCGTGGCCCCGCTCAGCGCGCTGCCCGGCGCTGCCGTGTCCGGTGCGTTGTCTTCGGGGCCTCCACTTCGGGGCCTCCACTTCGGGGCCTCCACTTCGGGGCCTCCACTTCGGGGCCTCCACTTCGGGGCCTCCACTTCGCGCCTCATTCGGAGAGCAATCCATTGGTGGGGTCACTCGATCGGTTTGAGACCCATTAAGCGACTCTGCACCTCAAAACGCGTTTCAGGTTCTGGCCGCCTGGCCCACTGTGTGATGGGACGGGAGGCTGCGCTGCCACGCTGCTCCGCCACTGGCTGGACCGCGACCCCGTTGCGCCCCGACGCGTGAACACAATCACGACTTGCAGAGACACCGTCAGACGCCGTCAGACTCCGTCAGACACCCATCGGTGCATCTCATCTCATCTCGTCTCTGACCCCGGCGGTGCAGGCCCTGTAGGCCTTGCTGTAGGCCGCGCGGCAGCCGAAGCGCGACGGACGGGCCGTCCCCGCCGCGTAGCGCGTTTAGCCGCGCGTTTAGCTGCGTCTCTCTCGCACTCATGGGGCGGTCGGCCGCCTGCCGGCGGTGCGAGAGAGACGGAACGCCTGCCCGCCTTTCCAGTCATGAGGAAGCGGTCCAGATCGAGACGACGGCGACATGCGGATTAAAAGCGTTCACGTCGCGGCGCTGCCGAGGCGCGGCCGTTTCCTTGTCTCCAGGACTCCAGGCGGCTGCCTGCAACGACTGGAGCACGTTCCAGCCACTCCGGGCAGGCCGGCAGGCAGGCGCTGCTCTGAGAAAGTCCCTCCGCGGCGCGGTGCCGCCTTGCCGATGGCTGGCCTGATTCGCCTACATTGTGTTTGACGGAGCGGCGTACACTGTGGGAAAAAGTGAGAAACCTGAACGACGGTCCTTTGGGTTGGGGAGCGGTTCTCCTAAAGGCCTCAGTCATGCTAGTCGCTAGTGGTGATAGGTTGGAAAGCGTAGGGGCTTCAAATGTCACACGCAGCACACCCGCCGGTGGAAAAAAATGTGTGGAGGCCATTGGGCTCGAACCTCGAACTTCTGCGTTGAAAATCACTCCTTAACCCACGCGGCCACACACACCCATGATTTTAAGGTGAGACGGTTCCCCGATGGTATTGGCGGCGTGCTGCCGAACTCCAGGCTACTGCAGCATTCGCCGAGGCGCTGGCCGCGCTGGCCGGGCCGCGTCGTCTTTCGCAACGCCGCTGCACAGCACCAGGCAGAGCCAGGCAGAGCCAGGCACCAGCACTCCAGCACGGCGACCTTCGTGCCCTGGACTTGGAATTAGCCCGACCGCCAGACAGCGCACCGCCAGGCAGCCCGCTTAGCACGGCCCTTTCTTCCAGCAGCTCGCCCGGCCCTGCTCCGCTCTTCTGCTGTTCTTCGTCTCGAGTGTTGTTGTTGTTTTTGGAGAGACGCCGGCAGCACTCATCGGCACTGCCGGCGCGTTGCGCTCTTCTTGCGACACATCCAGCACGGCCTGCACGGCCAGCACAATGCCGTGCCGCGCCACACATACCGCCAGCGCATCATGCCGGGGGTGGCGCCACGCGCGTGTGTGTGTTGCACGCGCACACACACACACACACACAGTGACTCATAACGCGCGGGGGAATCCGCTTGACTCCCGCCCATGAGGTCATTCCTACGGATCTTTGGCAGCAACAACAACAAGTCTGACGGCGTCCTCCTGTTGCAGGCCCAGGCGGCGCCCGCTGCTGCTGACATGCGCCGCGTCATGGAGTGGCCCGGCGTGACGCTGCTACGGTGATCCGCGCCCTCCCCGCCGCCGCCATGAGCCCCCAAGACAAGGTGAGTTCGCCCGCGTCTGTGTTTCCCCCAGCACCTCGCCGGACATCGTGCAGAGCCCCGAACAGCTCGACGAGCACCTCGACGAACACCTCGACGAGCACCTCGCTGACAAAATGAAAGTCATGACCTCCAGCCCTCACCTGAATAGGGCTAGGCGTCGGCCCGCCCAGGCAGCCAGGCAGGCAGCCAGCCAGCACGCCAACCAGGCGGGGGGCACTGGCATGATAAAGGCCTCGAGATAAGTGTCTTATTACGGGCTGGAATACAGGTCTAGGATTGCGACCGGAGGAGAAAAAAATATCGACTCATGGCGTGTGCGCGAGGAATTCGAAACCCTTGACCCCGCCGTCGTGTGTGTGGGTGTGTGTACGTGTGTGTGGGGGCGGGGGGATTGCACGCAGCCGGATACGCTATGCAGATATCTGGACACAATGACGCTTCGAACCGAGAGTCGCAAGTCGTGCGTGAAGACTATGCGCTGTTCTTGTTGAGAGGCGTTAACGACGATTTAGATTATTGTGCTTGTGTGTGTGTGGGGGGGGGGAGGGGTGACCTTGAACGTGCCCCCCGTGCCCTCTCAGACCGGTGACGTAACTATGCGAGTGTCCGGGCGCAGATACGTCCCTTTTGCGGTGGCCACGCCCCTCCAGTGCCCCTCCAGTGCCCCTCCAGTGCCCCTCCAGTGCCGCACCGGCGCGGAAGCCGCATGCAATGCCCCACGGTGGTGCTGGGTGTGGCCCACACTGCCGGCCGCTGGGGCGAGCTGGAGTGCTGGAGTGCTGGAGCACTGGAGCGGGCTTAGCTGGAGTGACGTGTTCGCCTCAAGGTGGACACCTCGAAAATGCCGCCCGGCCCGACGGGCTGCCGAGCGCGGCCAAGCGATTCAGAAGCGTCGTATCGTCGCTCTGTCTCTGTCGCACTCGTGGGGCTCTCCGTAAGGGTGCGAGAGAGACGGAGCGACGAAGCGATCTTCCGACCCGGGCGGCGAGTCGGGTCGCACCGCCGAGCCCGTCGGGTTGACAGGCACCCGCAGTGGGCCCGCAACCACCACTCGGGATATGACGGCCACGTCCCACAAGTGGGATGCTTTGGTATAACGTTTCAATTTCTTCCAGGTTTCCCACTTAAAGCATTTTGAACGCGTTCCAACGCATTATTAATTATTGTCATTCCGTTTGCAGATCGCCAGCATGACCTCTGCCCAGGGTCTGCGCGGCCACCACGAGGGCAGCGATGACAACTTCTCCGACGACGAGAACACGCCGCTCACCCACGACATCTATGGCGGCAGGTGAGTCGCCTCGTCGCTCTGTCTCTCTCGCACTCACGGGGCGTGCCGTCAGGGTGCGAGAGAGACAGAGCGACTCTCCACCCTGGGAACGAAAGCGGCTCGAGCAGGGAGAAGCAGAGCGGGATGGCGTCGCTGCAGGCTTGAACGCCACTCTGTCCCTCTCGCACCCTCGCGGCACGCCCCACGAGAGGGAGGGAGAGAGAGACAGGGAGCTTGAACTTGAACTCCAGCGACGCGTGTTCCAAGCGCGCACGCAAAGCCGCGTGAGACAGGGCTCCTCTCGTTTCCCATGCGAGTGCGAGAGAGACGGCGCACGTGCGAGAGTGCGAGAGAGACAGCCTGCGTGTCGGTGGTGTCGGTATTAGAGCTGAGTGAAAGGCTAAGAAAGTCGGAAAGGAAGAATGCTAAGGCCGCGCTGCAACCTGCATGCGGCGCTGTTACGTCGCCCTGGTGCATACCCCCCACTCCTCGCACTCACTCCCCAGGTTTATCATCGTTCGGATAACGCGGATTGCAGTCATTGTGACTGCACAACCCCGAGTCCTCAGAGGGTCGCCGCTGCTGCCTGCCGCCAGCAAGGCTGGCACTGCTCGCACTGCACTGGCCGCTGCGCGAGGTTGTTGGGCTGGCCCGCGCACCGCGCCGCGCACCCCGCACGCCCTCGGTCCGCCTCGGCGGCTCGACTCTGGCTGGCTCTGGCTGCGCAGACTGCTCTCCGCTCGCCGCGGCTCGCCGTCCCACGAGCCAAATGTCGAAGTCGAACGACTCAAGGTCTTTCGACTGAGCCGGCCAGCCCAAGCCGAAGCAGCCCAAGCCGGAGCCAGGGACTGGGCAGCGCGGCAGCGCGGCAGCGCCAGCAAGCGCCCGTCGGGGTGTGCGAGGGAGACAGACAGCGCGACGGAGTGCGGAATCGCTCCGCAAGCGGCACAGCTGCAACTAGAGACGCACGCGGCGAATCCTGAAAGACAATACGACTCGTGCCCGGGGAGGGGAGGGGGCGTCGCAACGGTGAATATGCCACGCCCGCGAATACGGTGACGGCCTTGGCGAGCCTCGGCTATTCGCAGCGCAGACTGATTCCGAGAGTCGTGTAATGCGATCTGAACGTTATGGCTTTCCGCGGCGGGGAAGTGGCAGTGTAGTGTCGCGTGGGTGAGAGCACGTGAGTGCCGGTCCGGCTTTTATTTCATTTTGTTTTCGTCGATCCAAATTAGCCAAAACGGCTCTCCCCGCCGCGTGCGCCGCGAGTTGCGTGGGTCGCGCCGCGGTCAGTGCCGCCACATCCGCCAGCCGGCCGGCCGCGCAACGGCAGGAGCGCGGAAAAGAAACATGAAAGAGAAAGAAAATACAGCCAGCGCGGCCGCCGCCGCCGGTAGTCGAAGCCGGGCTCCTCGTGCGACTGTACGACGCTTTCTGGAACGTGTTGTACTCGGACGTCATCGGCCGTAGCGGCGCGGCGGCGTGCCGCTCGGAAAATGAAAGTGCTCCGGGAGCGAAACGGAGCCGCGAGCTAGTCGAGCCCCCTCCCCTCGCCCGCCCCGTGTAGAGACCGCCAGCTCGGCCAGGCCGCCAGGCGGCCCGCCAGGCAGCCAGCCAGCCGCCTGCGGCCAGACAGTGCAGGCAGTCCCGCCGCGCCGCCGTGCGCGCGCTCCACGTGGTGGCCTGCCTCCGCGGCGCTCGGCCGCACTGGCCGGCCGGGCCGCGGCGTGGCCTTGCGCCTGGCGCCTTGTGTTGGCGGCGCGGCGTTTTGCGGTGCAGGCCGCAGGGGCGTTTAGCGTTTAGCGAGGCTCATTAAATGCGGCCCGCCCTGCGATTGCCGCGGCTTGCCGGGACCTAGGCGGCGCAACCTGCCGCTTGCCTCACCGCCCAACCAGGCCCAACCAGGCCCAACCAGCACTCGCAGGCCGCAAAGCGCGAACCGAACCGCCACTGTCCGGCACTGTCCCGGGTTCGAGACTCAGTTTCTCGTTCTGCCCGCAGCACCAGGACGGTGCAGGAGACGAAGGGATGGGACGTCTTCCGGGACCTGCCGCCCAAGGCGGACTCGGGGTCCATGGCGGACCAGCGCTTCCTGGACCTCACCATCAAGATCACCAAGGTGCTGGCCTACCTCATCACCTTCGTCATCGTGCTCACGTCGGGCGTGGTGGCCAAGGGCTGCCTCCTGTTCATGACGTCGCACCTGCGCGCCAACCGCATCGTGCCGCACTGTAACGTCAAGTACGGTGAGTACCAGATTTGAAGATAAATATTCAGGGCACCGACGCACAGCGGGATCACTAAATGGGACTAGAACCGAACGTGTGACCCCACCAATGGATTGCTCTCCGGGCGAGCAGTCCTTTGGTGGGCTCACACGTTCTGTTCGAGGCCTGTTTAGCGACTCTGGAGCTCAAAACGCGTTTACAGTTTTGGCCACCTGTGCCGGTCGTCTGGCCCACTCTGCAACGTAGGGGCATGCCTAATTATTTATCATGTTCCTGGCCGCCCCAGGCCGCGACAAGCAGTACGTGACGGTGCTGCCCGAGGAGGAGCGCGTGGCGTGGACCTGGGTGCTGCTGTTCGCCTTCCTGGTGCCCGAGCTGGGCACGCTGTTCCGGTCGCTGCGGATCTGCTTCTTCAAGTCGTGGCGCCGGCCGCCCTTCCTGGACTTCGCCCTCGTCTTCCTCATGGAGACCCTGCACACCGTGGGCACGGCGCTGCTCGTGTTCGCCGTGCTGCCGCAGATGGACGTGGTGAAGGGCGCCATGCTCACCAACTGCCTGTCCCTGGTGCCCGGCATCCTCGGCATGCTGTCCAGGACCAACAAGGAGTCGCAGCGGTTCGTCAAGGTGCGCCAGAGCCCCGCCCCGCGTCCACCGCGTTGTCCACGCCAACTAAACGCTAATGATCCTTCTGGCGCAGGTGCTGGTGGACCTGGGCGCCATCGTGGCGCAGTGCACCGGCATGGTGGCGTGGCTGCTGCTGCCGCTGCTGGGCGGCAACGGCCCCAACCTCAGCCTCTGGTGCGTCCCCGTGGCCGTGTTCTGCACGTCCTGCGGCTGGTGGGAGAACTACGTCAACAAGCAGTCGCACATCGGTAAGGCCCCAACAGTGGCACCAACAGAAAATAAGAAAAGGAGCGACCGTATTTGAACCCGCGACCTTGGCGTCGTTGCCGCAGGCATCATCAAGTCCATGGGGCGCGTCAAGGAGCGCATGAAGCGCACGCGGTACTTCACGTACCTCTTCGTGTCCGTGTGGAAGATGGTGGTGTTCTTCCTCATGATGCTGGTCATCACCTTCTTCAACCAGCAGAGCGTCGCGAACCTCTTCAGCCTGCTGCCGACGTCGTTCGGCGAGCGCAAGATCGTCGTCACTGAGGTGAGACTCCCTGGCCGAACGCGAAACGGAACTACTTACCACACTGTGAGGTGGAATGTGTAAACGGATTTGATGCAGGTGCGTTCGCTGGGCGTCACCACCCCCGTGGACTTGCTGGCCGAGTTCAACCCCACGGGCGACACCGAGTCGGAGAACGCCATGCACAAGACCGCCGTGGCCGTGTGCGTCATCCAGATCCTGGCCGCCTACTTCTGCTACATTTTCGGTGAGCCCCTCGACCCGCGAGCGGCCAAAGCAAATCCAAGTCTTTTTATTTAAAGCTTTTCTCACCGACCGCCGTTCCCTCTGTTCGCCAGGAAAGTTCGCGTGCAAGATCATGATCCAGGGCTTCAGCTACGCCTTCCCGGTCAACCTCACCATCCCCGTGACCATCTCGCTGGTGATCGCGGCGTGCGGGCTGCGCAAAGACGACCCGTGCTTCTTCGAGGGGGTCGTGCCCAGCTACCTGTTCTTCGACCCGCCGCCCCTCAACGCCACCACCCTCTTCGACCAGGTACTTCTGGTTCTGCAGCGGAGACTGCCTCTCAGTCTGACAAATGTATGTTTACTTACGTGGTAATTGACAAATTTAATTAATGTTTCCTCCCTGTTCAGCACGCCTGGGTGTGGCTGCTGTGGCTGCTGTCCCAGACCTGGATCACGCTGCACATCTGGACGCCCAAGTGCGAGCGTCTGGCGGCCACGGAGAAGCTCTTCGTGTCGCCCATGTACAGCGGCCTGCTCATCGACCAGTCCCTGGGCATGAACCGGCGGCGCGACGATGAGGCGGACGTCAAGACGGAGGTGTGTCTCGGTAGCGCTGTGCACAGCGACGTTGCGCGCGGCAGCACAGGTCGTGCGTTCGAACACTACCCCCATCTTTGTTTTTTTTTCGTCCAGGATCTGACCGAGCTGGAGAAGGGCGTCGACGAGTACTACGAGACCATCTCCATTCACACCGACGCGAGCGGCTCGACGCCGGGCAAGAGCGTCAAGTCCTCCGACTACATCACGCGCATCTACGCCTGCTGCACCATGTGGCACGAGACCAAGGAGGAGATGATGGAGATGCTCAAGTCGATCCTGCGCATGGACGAGGACCAGTGCGCGCGCCGCGTGGCGCAGAAGTACCTGCGCGTCGTGGACCCCGACTACTACGAGTTCGAGAGTGAGTCAACGCGGTTCCCTGCCAACTCGGAAGTTGTTCGTGCTGTGCATTAAACCAAATAAACGCTCTTTCTCTTTCCTTCCCGCAGCGCACATCTTCTTCGACGACGCCTTCGAGATCAGCGAGGTGAACGACGACTGGAGCGTGTGCAACCGCTTCGTGAAGCTGCTGGTGGCCATCATGGACGAGGCGGCGTCGCACGTGCACGAGACCAACATCCGCATGCGCCCGCCCAAGAAGTACCCCACGCCGTACGGCGGCCGCCTCGAGTGGATCCTGCCCGGCAAGACCAAGATGATCGCCCACCTCAAGGACAAGAGCAAGATCCGTCACCGCAAGCGCTGGAGCCAGGTCATGTACATGTACTACCTGCTGGGCCACCGCCTGATGGAGCTGCCCATCTCGGTGGACAGGAAGGAAGTGATGGCCGAGAACACGTTCCTGCTCACGCTGGACGGCGACATCGACTTCCAGCCCCACGCCGTGCAGCTGCTCATCGACTTGATGAAGAAGAACCGCAACCTGGGCGCGGCCTGCGGACGCATCCACCCCGTCGGCTCCGGCCCCATGGTGTGGTACCAGATGTTCGAGTACGCCATCGGGCATTGGCTGCAGAAGGCCACCGAGCACATGATCGGCTGCGTCCTGTGTAGCCCCGGCTGCTTCTCGCTCTTCAGGGGCAAGTCCCTCATGGACGACAACGTCATGAAGAAGTACACGACGCGGTCCGACGAGGCGCGGCACTACGTGCAGTACGATCAGGGTGAGTGGCCGAGCGCACAGCGAGCTGGCATACCGTTCGCCGGTCGCGGGTTCAAGCCCCATTGGCGGTAAGTTTTTGTATAATTTTTTATCATGTGTAATTATTTTTTGCAGGTGAGGATCGTTGGCTGTGCACACTGCTGCTGCAGCGAGGCTACCGAGTCGAATACTCCGCCGCCTCCGACGCCTACACGCACTGCCCCGAAGGCTTCAACGAGTTCTACAACCAGCGGCGTCGCTGGGTGCCCTCCACCATCGCCAACATCATGGACCTGCTCGTGGACGCCAAGAAGACCATCAAGATCAACGACAACATCTCCATGCCCTACATCGCCTACCAGATGATGTTGATGGGCGGCACCATCCTCGGCCCCGGCACCATCTTCCTCATGTTGGTGGGAGCCTTCGTGGCCGCCTTCAAGATCGACAACTGGACCAGCTTCTACTACAACATCATCCCCATCATGCTCTTCATGCTCGTCTGCTTCACGTGCAAGTCCAACATACAGGTAAAGCCGCGGTGTTGCTTCTAGTGTGTCGGTGTCCGTGACGTCACAGTACTCCCCGCCTGTCGTGTCGTCTGCTTGTGTTGTCCCAGTCCGCTTCAAGCGTAGCGTCTGCTTGCCCCCAGCTGCTGTTCGCGCAGATACTGTCCACGGGCTACGCGCTCGTGATGATGGCCGTGATCGTGGGTACGGCGCTGCAGCTCGGCGAGGACGGCATCGGGTCGCCGTCCGCCATCTTCCTCATAGCGTCATCGGGGTCCTTCTTCATAGCAGCCTGTCTCCATCCGCAAGAGTTCTGGTGCGTCGTGCCCGGCATCATCTACCTGCTGTCCATCCCGTCCATGTACCTGCTGCTCATCCTGTACTCCATCATCAACCTCAACGTGGTCACGTGGGGGACGCGAGAAGTGGTGGCCAAGAAGACCAAGAAGGTTTGTGCGCTCGGGCGTGCACTTGGTGGTGGTGGTGGTGGTGGTGGCGGTCAAGCGTTCCGTCTGTGTTCCTCTGCTTGCACTCTTCCCACAATGATCTATCAACCACTGCCGTACTAACGAAAGCAAACCCTTGCCACGCATGCCAACCCTGTTCTGACCGGTTCTTTCGACGCGCGGCTCGCCGCCACAGCTCAGGGTGGCCATGCTGCTGTCGGCGTTCTACGCCCTGGTCATGGTGGCGGTGGTGGTGGGCGTGTCGGTGCAGCTCGTCGAGGACGGCCCCTTCTCGCCGTCGTCCCTCTTCCTGTTCGCCGTGGCGGCCTCCTTCGCCCTCACGGGGGTGCTGCACCCGCGGGAGGCGGGCATCCTGCCCCTGGGCTTCGTGTACTACATCAGCGTGCCCAGCACGTACTTGCTGCTCATCGTGTACGCCCTGTTCAACCTCAACGACGTGACGTGGGGCACCCGGGAGGTGCTGGTCCGCAAGACGCAGCAGGTAGCCGACGGCGTTCCGGTGCTAAACTGTTCCAGGTTCCACGACGCAGTTCTAGGACTCTAGTCCCGTCTAGACGCATGACGCACGCGCAAATATACCTAACTCTGCACGATGCTTAGACTTACTCTAGAAACTAGTGCTGCCATTAGTATCGTGTCGCACAGTGGGCCAGAAGACCGCCGCAGACGGACAAAATTCTACACGCGTTTTGAGCTGCGGAGTCGCTAAATGGGACTCGAACCGAGCGCGTGACCCCACCAATGGATTCCTCGTTCGGAGAGCAATTCATTGGCGGGGTCACACGTTCAGTACGAGTCCCCTCTAGCGACTCTGGAGCTCAAAACGCATCCGTAGTTTTGTCCGCCTCCACCGGTCTTCTGGCCCACTGTGTCGCGCACTGTGACCGAAACGGACCCCTGCTTCGCCAGGAACTGGAGGAGGAGCGGAAGGAGGCGGAGGAGGCCAAGCGCACGGCGCGCCAGAAGTCGCTGCTCGGCTTCCTGCAGAACGTCAACAGCGGCGGCGTGGACGGCGACGAGGGCGGCATCGAGATCTCGCTGGCCGGCCTCTTCAAGTGCATCTTCTGCACGCACCCCAAGTCCACCGACGACAAGACGCAGCTCATCCGTATCGCCGAGTCGCTAGACACGCTGGGCAAGCGGCTGCAGACCATCGAGCAGTGAGTAGTCCGGGGATCGAATCCCCACGCGTATCTTTTTCTCATGAGGCTGGGTTGTTGGAGCGATGCGCGCATGGTACGGTCCGTGCGAACGATCGTGGCCACCCTCCGGCTTCCTCTAACTTGGCTCACCCCTTTCGGCCGATAGACTGATTCCGAGGGTCGTTTTCGTCGCTCTGCCTCTCTGGCACTCATTGGCACCCCGTGCAGGTGCGAGAGAGACAGAGCGACGAAGGCGACTCTCCGTCTGCAGTCCGCCAGTCGCAGAGAAAGCGCCGCTTGGACGCGTGACGCCCCGCGACGCGCTGCTCCTACACTTTCACCGGGCCGCCCCGGAGGTAGGCAACCCAACTGACTCGCCGTCGCCTCGTTGCCTGTCCGCAGGGTGGTGGACCCGCAGGGGCAGCACTCGGGCCGGCGGCGCACGGCGTCCGCGGGCAGCAGGGACCACCACCTCGGCTCCCTGGCCGAGGACCCCGCCGAGGAGGACCAGCTCCACGACTCGGACACCGAGACCGCCACGACGGAGGGCCGGCAGAAGCGCGACGACCTGGTGGACCCGTTCTGGATCGAGGACCGCGACCTGAAGCGCGGCGAGGTGGACTTCATCTCCATGACGGAGATGCAGTTCTGGAAGGACCTGCTGGCCAAGTACCTGTACCCCATCGACGACGACAAGAACGAGCGGGTCAGCAACACCACTTCAATTTCATTTTGAGATTTACTTTTTTTGAAATTACTTTTATCTTGTCCTGCGTGCTGTAGTCATAACTGCTCGACTTTTCCCGCTAGTCCCGCGCAGTCCGGACCTGTGTAGCTAGAGCTGGGTGGCCGACGGGCCGCCGACGGCAAGCCTGGCGGACGAGGCACTTCGGGGAGGACACCCGGTTCGCGCCGCGCGAGTGCCCCATGTGCTCCACTGCAAAAAAGAATCTCGTCTTCTAATCGTTGTGGGCTGGGGCGGCCACGCCCCGGCTTCGCCGCGAGAGGGACCCCCTTTTTTCTGCAGTGGGGGTGAACGTTTGCTGCGTGTGATTCCAGGCTAGGATCGCGAGCGACCTAAAAGAACTGCGAGACAAGTCCGTTTTTGCTTTCTTCATGGTGAATGCTATCTTTGTGCTGATCGTGTTCCTGCTGCAACTCAATAAGGACCTCCTGCACGTAAAGTGGCCCCTGGGGGTCAAGACTAACATTACCTATGACGAGACAACGCAAGAGGTAAGGCTCCACGGGTGGGTGCGGGGATGGGTTGGGGAAGGCCGCAGGGCCCAAGGCCAGGCCGCCCACGGACACACACACACACACACACACCACACTGCACCCGTCACCCCTCGAGCGTCGGCTAGGCTAGGAACCGAGCAGCTACCACCAGCGCGCAGGCGGACACAGCACCACTCTCTCTCTAACCGTGTGCGTGTGTGTGCGTGGGGGTGTGCTTGTGTGACTGTTACAGGCCCGCATCGCCGCTGACCTGGTCGAGCTCCGCAACAAGTCCGTTTTCGCTTTCTTCATGTTCAATGCTCTGTTTGTGCTTATCGTGTTTTTACTACAACTCAACAAGGATCAGCTTCACGTTGACTGGCCGTTAGGCGTCAAGACGAATATCACCTATATCGAGGAAACGTCAGAGGTAAAAGCCCTGGCTGCCCGCCTGCCTGTCCGTTGCCCAATTTCACATCAAATTTATTTATTTACTTTTCATTATTTTTGTTTTTATTCATCCTTTGCGATGGGGCGGCTGGTTGGTGGGTTGGTCAGGGACTCTGCCTGCCGCTCAATATACCCTATATCCTCTATGTCTGTCTCTCTCTCTATACATACGATTCTATCCTTTCACTTCCTAACCCTTGGCTGCACTTCGCCTCGTCTTCTGTCGACCGTGACTGACCCCCTCTTCTGTGTCTTTCTGCTTGCGAGGCCCCGGCCGGCCCCTGCGTCCGGGAGCCCCCAGGGAGCCCCCCTCCGCCCCCCACCCCTCCGTCCTGCAGTGGTGGCAGGTGGCAGACGATGCTCTCTGTCCTCTGTACATAAGCCCTCCCATACTGTGACTGACTTCCTGAGATCAGAGATAAACACACTGAGCAAGATTTTGTTTAAAACACGATAGCGAAAAGAAAAACATCACCCGAATTTTCATCTACATCAATCGCTCATTTTGAACGGACTCCAACTCAATCCATTTCATTCCCATCGTCATACATAATGTATAGGCCATAACCACGTGTTTAAATATGACTCAGCAACCCTATTTTCAGGTTAAAAAATCCCCAGCCCCAGCAGCTAATCCACTTTTTTAAAATGTTTAAATACAATGTTGATAATCCCCTTACAGCTTAGTGTAATTTTCAGGTGTCCCCGGAAAACCCTGTAGTTAGAACACTCTGTAAATTTGTTTCCTGTAATTTAAATATCCCTCACAGGTTAAAAAAATATCAATGCAAAATTCCAGTATCTTAGTGCACACTTCCAAAAGTAGATAACAAAGACAACACTCTTGTTGACTTGTGTATGCATTGATGCACTCACTGTAGGTTGACTGGTGGAAACCCCTCCAAAAACCCGAAATAATAAATAAATGTCGACCGATCGTTACTTCCTTTCGCCTAAGGAAAAACGCAGGCATTCGCATGTGCTAATGCTCATCTTTCAGAATGTGGAATGTGTAATCCATCCTGTGTGTGTCTGTGTGCGTGCGGTGTCTGTCTGTGTGAGTCTGTGTGAATGTGTGTGTGCGGGACCACGCTTCCCCTGCGCCGTCGCTTTGGCTCAAGGACGTTTCCTCCTTGAAGAAGATCTGCTCTGCTACCCTTGTGTTGCATGAGAAGGCGCTCGCGGCGCTCGCATGTCCAGCGGCAGTCTTGCCAACCTTCTGACAGCCTGTCAGGGACGGGTTGGCAACCCTGCCCGGCCGAAGCCTTGTGTCTACGCTGTGAAAAAAATACTCTGAATTTTCAGACTAATTTGAGTCACGTAAATTTGCATTAATTCGTTTGAGAAGAAGTCTTAAAAATTTTGACATTGCTAGGACATAGCCTTGTGCGTGAAAAGGAATCTTTTTAGTCTGAATTTTCTCTGAATTTTCAGGGTTGTTTTCACAGTGTCATAATCGTTGACGATGTCAAACTGACGCCGTTGTCCTCTGAGCCCAACATCTCACAACTGCTTCAGTTTGGCAGCGTCGCAATGACCCTTTGTGTACAGAAATTACCGAAAGGCGGCCGGCCTCGGCCAGCGAACCGCTCAGTCCCTACAGTGGCGCGGGCCGGGCGAGCGCCTGCGAGGTAGGCAGCGGCGACGCAGCCGTGCGCGCAAGCCGTGGATGTTGCCTACGCTGCAGGGGCTCGGCCGGCCGACTGTGCAGCGGCTGGTCGGTTTTTTCGCTGCCGGGCGTCCGACGCCGAACTAATGCCAAGTCTGCATGTTGAGTGTTCACCCGGTGGCACGCCTGCCAAGTGGACTCCTGGCGGAATTGTCCTCCCCGCTGCGTTTGCAGCTTTTCTATTTTTTGAACCAAAGGCTGAGGATGTTCGAATGGAGAACTTTGTGGGCGTGCCACCGCCTTCCCCCTCTGTCCACGCCGCGGCGCGACGTGCCGTGGGGGCCTGGAGGCTGCGCCCTCGGCACCCCAGGCCCCCACCCCGCCACCCTCCGCCCGCGGCCCCCGACACGCCCCTCTTGTCGCAGGTGCTCATCTCCAAGGAGTACCTCCAGCTGGAGCCCATCGGTCTGGTGTTCGTGTTCTTCTTCGCGCTCATCCTGGTCATCCAGTTCACCGCCATGTTGTTCCATCGTTTCGGCACGCTGTCGCACATCTTGGCCTCGGCGGAGCTCTCGCTGTGCTGGAACAAGAAGGTACGCTTTCCGCTTTTGGAAACCGCGTTTGTGTGAACGGCCTGTCTGGTAACGCGGAGTGCCCCTGCCCCCAGGTGGAGGACCTGTCCCAGGACGCGCTGCTGGACAAGCACGCCGTGGACATCGTGAGGAACCTGCAGCGGCTGCGCGGCATAGACGGCGACTACGACAACGACAACGACTCGGGGTCGTCCGCGGACCGCGTCGGCCACCGCCGCACCATCCACAACCTGGAGAAGCACCGCCAGAAGAAGAGGACCATCGGCACCCTGGACGTGGCCTTCAAGAAGCGCTTCTTCAACATGAAGGAGGGCGGCGCGGCGCCAGGTGAGCCAACGCGCGAACGCGGCGACACTGGCCGAACCTGGCGGTACACGGTGGCGGTCGAAATCCCGGACGCGTTTTGAGCGCCAGAGTCACTAAATGGGACTAGAACCGAACGTTTGACCTCACCAATAGATTGCTCTCGGAACGAGGAATCTGAGCAATCTATTGGTGGGGTCACACGTTCGGTTCGAGTCCTGTTTAGCGACTCAGGGAGCGCGTCTAGAGTTTTGGCCGCCGGCGCCGGTCTTCTCGCCCACTGTGCCGTACAGTTCCGACCCACTGTAACCATGCCCTCCTCCTCCTCCAGGCACGCCCGTGCTGGGCCGCAAGCTGACCATGCGCCAGGAGACCATCAAGGCCCTGGAGACGAGGCGCAACTCGGTGATGGCGGAGCGCAAGAAGTCGCACATGCAGACGCTGGGCGCGGCGCACGAGTACGGCGTGTCGGCGGCCTCGGCCGCGGCGCTGGTCGGCGGCGGCACCCTGGTGGGCGGTACCCTCACCGGCGTCCCCGGCGGCTCCGTGCTCGGCGGCGTGGCGACGCGCAACCACCGCAACTCCGTGGCCTCCATGAGCGTCAAGGACATCTTCGACACGGCCGGCGGCCAGATCAACCGCGCGTACGAGGCGTCCGGCTACGAGGCGGGCGGCGTCATCTCCGAGGACGAGATGGAGGTGGGCGGCAACGCGCTGCGCCTCCACAACGTGCGGAACAACGTGAGCTGGCGCGAGCAGGACGGCCACTCGCGGTCCAACAGCCGCATGTAGGCCCTAGCAGCAATCAACAAATAACTTATTCTCTCTGCGTTTGGAAGTGTTCTGCCGCGCCCCGCGGTCCCACGTGTTCCAGATGCTGCCCCTTTGAAGCGTCTCGACGCCTCTTTTAGACTTTTATTTTTGTATTTGTTTGTTCTTGACTCTCTGTACTTCAACTGAGTGGGCTGTTTCGTGGTTCAGCGTTCAGCGCCACCGAGCTTCGTTTTTCGTACTTATTTTGCCATATCAGTCACAAACCTAAACTACTTAATTTTTCTCGTTTCTGATATTTTAAGGAATCGCAGCAACTGCTCTTAGCGGTAGTGCTGCATTTTACAAAATGATTAGGACAAATTACAAAAAGACTGCCGTATGTACTCTGTACTGATTCAAGCCACGCTCGATCAATGGTGTTGAGAGACTAGGAAATAATAGACTTGAAGAGCTTCGACAAAGGATAATCCGGTTATATTTGACGATAAACGCATTGCCTTTGCGTTTTCTTGTTGTGGATTACAGTTCCTTCGAACTGTTGCCCTTTTATATGATAATTGCTCAACGTATAGAGAGTTATACGTATTATTTTATACTGCATGACATTATTTAATTTTTTTATTCGTAGGAATGAATGCACTGTAAACATGACATTATAGAGAGCCGAATAATACTATCGTTTAGATATTACACTCTAAGACTTACTGCGGAAACGGAATTAACATACAGAATGGAACCGTATTCATCCATCCTGTAGGAATGCCCCGCACAAGGAGGTATTGTGATGCGTTGTGATGTATTAGGTTTCAAAGTAGAGACTCTTTGCAGCCGAGTGTACTGTCTGCGAAACAATGCTAGATATAAGGTGTACTAGTGTGCCCGCCTGTTCCGCCGAATCTTTCGGATCTCGTGAACGCTGTGCCGAATGGAAATTGTGATATTTTTGTACGTATGCTGTACTATTGTAACGTTAGGCGGTGACTGGGTGCGCTCCGCTCGGCGGCCTCGCTGGACCGAGGTTGCTGCGGCGGGGCGCGCGCGGCCCCCGCGGACCGAAAGACATTTCAGCAATAAATGACTATCGAAAGGAAAAGAAGCGGCCTCTCCCTTCTCCTCCCTGTTCCGGCTCTTTCATTAAAATTACCTGTGACACTTTGCTCTGGTTTTCCGCGCCCAGAGTGTAGCGTGTTACTATTATGCTCTGCGCTGTGGCTGGGGGCGCGGCCTGCTACTTTGTAGACACAGGTGGGCGTGTGGGGAAGGCACTCGCTTCAAGCTCGAGCCGATAATTCGAAATACGGCCGCATGTCGCTCCCCGCCAAAATGCAAATATTTGAACTCTCTGCCGTCGGCCACGTGCCGCATGGTACAGACACTTTTCGGGAGAACTGAAATCCGCCATCCACTCAGTGTAAGTGTAGCCTGCCCATTTTCAAGCTTTTTAAAAAATTGTGTTTTTCTTTTCCTTGCCTGGCTGGAAGGTGCTACTGCGGGCATTTCGCGACGCCGCTCCTGCATGCTCATTGTCGATTGCGCGGCCACGACTTTCCGTTCTGGCTTCTGGCCCGGGAGGAAGGGGGGGGGGAGTAACTGACGAGCCGAGTCGGGCCGAGCCGAGCCGGCGCCGCTTTCTGCTGCCTGGGCCCCTGTCCTGTCCCCGTCGCTACTGTCGCTGTTTGCCTGGCGTTGAGTCGTCAGTGCCGCCCGTGCCCGAGACCCCCACTATAAAGGACCGCCTTGGGGCCGGCGCCGCCACTGCAGTCCCGACGCCCACGTCAACGTCGTCAGCATGGCCCGCGTCCTCCTCGTCGTGTGCCTCGCCGCGCTCTGCGCAGGTCGGTCCTCGTCTATCTTATCTGACGAGCGATTCAGAATAGTCGTGTCCTCTCTGTCGCACTCTTGGGGCTCTCCATAGGGGTGCGAGGGGGAGAGAGCGACAAACCGCTCGCTCGGCTGCAGTCTGCGGCGCGTGCGTCGCTCTGTCTCTCTCGCACCAATGGGGTGCCCCGTGGGGGTGCGAGAGAGACAGCGAGGGCCCCTGAAGGAAAGCGCGTCTTGCCTCCCCTCCAGGCTGGAGCAGCGCCAGCACCGACCGCACCCACGGCGGCAACAAGGTGTCGGACTCCGACATCAAGAAGCTCACGGAGCAGCTGTTCACCGTGGACAAGCACGCCCTCAACAGCGCCGTGCGCATCGACCTGCAGGGCAAGACGTACTCCAGTGCCACTGACGACAAGGCGCCCCGCCCGTGAGTACGCCGTGCTGGCCCTCGCGGCCGCGGCCAGTCCGTCAGGCCGCCTGGGAGGTAGGCCGCCCATCCCCCAAGCGCGCTGACCGACTAGACCGCCTCTCTGCTGCCGCCAGCCTGCTGAGCGTGGACGAGAGCAGGGCCAAGTCCGCCAACGGCAACGTGGCGCTGCTGGCCCGCCTCTACGACAAGTACACGCCCGACTGCACCAAGGCGGAGAAGGAGACGCCGGAGAAGAAGCAGCAGCAGAGCGACCTCCTGGACGGCCTGCTCGCCACGCCCGTGCTCACCACCACCCTCAACTTCCTCGCCGGCAAGGGTAACCCGTCGGACCTACAGTGACATGGCCGCGCGGCGCCCCGGGTGAGTGCACTCAAGTCCGCGTCTGACTCGCCCCCAGGTCTGGTCCCCACCGGCAAGGCCGCCCAGAAGCAGTTCCTCAACAAGCTGTGGTTCTCCCTGTACTCGCGCGGCGGCGGCGCCCTCGGCTCCTCGGCCTTCGAGCACGTGTTCCTGGGCGAGCTGAAGCACGGCGACGTCTCCGGCATGCACTCGTGGCTGTTCTTCAACAAGCAGGAGGAGGCCGGCAAGGCCGACTACAAGGGCTACATCAAGAAGCTGCCGCTCGGCGAGGTGAGTACTGCGTCACGGCGTCCAAGTCGAGTCGTCCGACACGTCCGACTCGAGGACCCGATGAGAGGAACTCTTTTGCCTCTTCAGAAGGGGGAAAAATCGCGAGTTTCCAGGATGTCTCTAATTTCCTATCAGTCGAATGGGTGGCCTACATTCGCGGCGCCACAGTGTTCATAGGACATGTCGAATGAATTGCCTACCTTCGCGGCGCCACTGTTCAGAGCGTTCTCCTCGCCTCATAGGGCCTGAGTCTGCTATACATAACAACGCGCTCCGTTCTGTTCCGTTCCTCTCGCAGAGTGGCACCCTGCTCAAGGTGCGCTTCGAGTGGCTGGACGCCAACAAGCCCGTCAACAGCCTGTTCGTGGGAGCCAGCCCCGAGCTGGAGATGTCCCTGTACACCCTGTGCTTCCTGTCGCGGCCCGACCAGAAGTGCCACGTGTCTGCGCACGGCGTCAACTTCTACATCCAGACCTGGTCCTTCAAGCTCAGGGACGGCTTCTCCACCATCGGCAGCGCCTACCCTTCCCTGTAGGAGTCTTAAGCCCTCCCCTGTGCTCTGTCGCGTCATGGAAATAAACGAAGAAACGCCTCCCTCGTAAACCCTGTGTTCCTACTTGGTGTGAGACTTAAACGAGCTCCAAGCGGCCCTATCTTCCCCTGTTTTTTCTGACATGTTAGCAAGGTTCCTTTTTTTCTTTTCAAGCTACTTCTTGCATTTGGCCCAAGAAGGCACTGAAAAAGGTTTCATAATGAAGAGGACCATATTAATAGCATATGTTTATTATAAATTATTAAAAAACCTAATAAAAATAATTAGTCACAGACATACTACAAAAAATTATCACAGCCAAATTTTAAGTGTAACAAAAACTTCAGGTCTTTGGATTTTTTAAACCTGAAGTCCTTCCTTGACTTTAGCAAGAAAAGTCCTGAAACAATAAAAAAAATCATGGTCAAAAACAGTAGCCTAAATTTTTCCTTAGAGTACAGAGGCAATGAGGCCACTTACTCCAAATTTTTATCATTGCCACTCCCTCTTTTGGAAATTACATCTCTCACATTAGCTTCTAAAGTGGGATAAAAACTCTTCACAAGAGGTTTGGAAACTTTCATCAAGAATAGCAACATTCGCATGAAGAGATTAGCATGGAAGCTAAGAAATTGACGTGACTGCTGATTGAGTACATTTGTAGCTTGTTCCCTATGGCAGACGGGGAGAAGAATCAGGTGACTAACAATTTTTAACGGTCAAGGAAACAAGAGAAAAAACTACAGAATTAGTTGTACCTTAAACTGGTAGACGTACGGAACACCTCTGTGTCAAAGATTAGTCCGAGAGTTTTTTCCGTTTCTGGTCTTCTATTATTGCCAGCACTCATATCAGTAACTTTTGCTACCACATAAAGGCAGCTTGGTAGAACATTATTAATTAACAAACCAATCAAAATTTCATCACAGCCATTTCTCTGAATAAGTGAGTTCATTAATGTTAGCCCCTGCAACCAAAGTCGAAAGTGTTACTACTGGTGATGGTAAAATATACATTGCTTTTAACACAAATAAAATTACCTGACAATAGTACTTGTGCGGCACATTGTTTTTGTCCACCTTAAGAAATGTTTCACAAACTGATTGGATTATATAAATGGCTGCAGGCATGTCCTCCGGCTCATCCCATATTTTTTTGAATGGATCTAAATATCTGGGCACATAAACCATGATAATGTTCTTGATGAAGCGTTCAATGCACTTTTCCCTCTTGGGATCTGTAACAAATAAAAAATGCCTCAATTACAAGCGCTGTACTGTACCGGACCATAAACAAGAAATTGCACCAAAAATAATGTGGGATTCTGTAGTTAAAACTCGCACCCAATTTAAAAAGCCCCTTAATGAATGAAAAAAGGGATTTCCTCAGCCCATTCTCCATGGGTAGAGGTAACCTTACATCCATATTGAAAACATTAGGATGGAGTATGAGGTAATTCACCAAGGTGACTAGGAAGTTGGATGCGTTATTCTGGAATAAACAGAAAACAAACAATAGTAATATAAAAAAAATAGTAATAAGTTCCCCCATGTGCCTGGGCACACAGTTAGAAACTGTGTGCCTCCATGCACACTGTATAAAACAGTACGCCTGCAGGCACACACAGTGTGCATGGAGGCATACATTTTAAAGTGTGTGCCATGTACACACTTGTGAGCACATCTAAATAAATAATTATTTCAAAAAGTCTGCCACCAACTCACTTTTTCATAAATGAACGAAGGACACTCAGCTACAAGAGTTCCTAGAACCACATAGCTTCTTTCAATACTTTCCGTATCTAGAAAAGGTTGTCTGCCTGGCACCCAGCTGGAATCCTTTGCTTTGGTCGGAAACAATGACGATTTAATCAAAGGCATCATCTGCCTCAAAGGCTCTAAAATTGTTACAATCATTTTCTTGTGAGAACTCGATGTCTGGATGGCAAAAATGTAAAAAAATTTCATATAAAAAGGATCCATCATGAGATATTTAGGATATACAAGAGCAAAAACATCCAATATCTCACCTTTCCCATTGCCTCTACTAGATAAAGCAGTGGGTCAGATACTGTCACAAAATTGTCATGAGGAAGATTGAATGTATTTTTCAACACAGGCATTGAAAATATCTTTTGCATAACCTCGGTCTCTCTGTCTTGGCCAACATTAGAACACACACAACAGCGCACCCATGCCTAACACAGACAAAAGAGCATAAGGTAAAATCGTGACAGGGGAGAGGAGTTAACATCAATATCGTAAATGACAGAAAAATTCTTACTTGAACAAACAAAATTTGCAGACTTTCATTTGTATCTATGATATTTGTTATTTTTCGACAGGATAGAAGCCTGTCTAGGTATCTTTTGACTAGCCTTCAGAAGGGAGAAAACCATTAGATTGTGACCAACACAATAGTCAATTCATACAAAAAGTTTCAACACTTACTTGGAGTTGTCATTTGTTGTGAAAAGATGAACCAAGTTTTGGAAGGACTCTTTTGTTGAAGAACTACTGAACTCGAGAGAAATGAGAGTGAATTGAAATGCTAAGTCAGCAATTTCCCAGTCATGGGATTTCTGATCTTTCAGATATGGAAGTAAATTTTCATGCAGTCTCTCAACTAGTTTTTGCATTCCACCTCCAACTGTTTCAAGTACAAAAAAACAAAAAAAAAAACATTAGTATTGCCAAATGAGGACTCTTAAAGTGCACAGAAAGAAAAGAAAAGAAGAGCACCTATATTGTTGCAGTCCATATAGACTTGAAGTTTCTGCATAACATCAATCATTAAATTTAAAAGACTCCTCAAAGTGGTTGAATCTTGGTTGTTCTGTTGCAAAAATCTTTTGACCCATGGACCTAGGAAATCGTAAATCAGTATTTTAGGATTCAAAAGACCACACAGGTCTCACAACAGAACAGGGAAAATACATACCAAATAAAATGTGTAAATCAGAGGGCAATACATCAGTGTTTTTGATTAAACATTCCAAATTTGATATGAATACCTGAACAACAGGATTCTGATTTCTTGCTATTAGAGAATCAATTGTATTGGTTAATGGTCCTGCTAGTGGGCTTAATTCTTTTCCATTCTTCACCAACAGGAAAACAAAACACAATTTTGCCTTCATGATCATCTGATTGCGCTTTTTATCAGTTTCACTAAATGAAACTAGGCTGAAGAACCTGTGTCCCTGCACAAAACAGAGTAACACCCAATTAGAAAATAGTTCATAGATCATTTTTAAACGAAACAAATTTAAAATGCATTTACATACAAGTTCCTCCACCTCCTCTGTGGCTAAGGCGATGGACAGAAATATTTGAGTTAAATGAAACAATCCCATCTCACTTAAACTATTGATTTTCTTCTCAGATAATTTTGAAAAAAATCTCCCACAAATTTTGGCTTTCCATACATTTTTGTCCTGGGCTAGATAAGTTGCTAGAGAAGATTGCCAAAAGAAAAAAGAGTCCAGTAAGTTTTCAAGTTAATAGTTTGGTTTCACCAATTCAATACCAATTCAATATGTTTATTAAAAAAAGCCGAGCATACAATACCTAGAAGAGATAGAAAAAGCTCAAAGCTATTCAATTGTACTCTTGGCTTGTTGGACGGTCTGTCAAATTCCACAGACGACAGAATATCTTCAATAGTTTCACTGAAGGGGATGAGAACCACAAGAAAAATTAAGTCACAGGGACAAGTTAAAAATGGGTATTACTTTTCATGCACTGTACCTTGGAACAACAAATGAGCTAGCAGGGGCTCCAGGTAACTGGAATGCACAATCTAACTTGCGAGAGAATCCATCCCAAAGCATCATTATGGGTTCTGGTTTGGTTTTCCAGGGATCCACAAGAAAACCCTTCATGAGATAGATGAGTGTGCGTCGCTGGGGCTCTTCAAGGTCATTTGATCCCATCAAGTCGTTCAGCACACATTTCACTATGCCCTGACCCTTGTCCATCTCCTAAAAATCAAAACCGGTGATAAATCAAAGAAAGGCAAAAAGATTTCTTGCCTGAAATAAAAATGGGCCAGTCCAGATACTAACAGGTCTAATAGGACTCAGGAATCCATCTGAAGAGTACATGTAAACCTCCCCAATATCTCGCAACAGCCATAAGGCAAATAGCCCTGGCTCCAAGCAGGCAATCTTTTGAAATTTTTTAGTTTGGAGAGGTCTCCATCCTTTCTTTGAGGGAATGTCTGCATCAGCTTTAACTACCAACTGCAGGCACTCATCAAGTAGCTTCCAGAATGCCTGCACACCAAAATGAGCAGTGTATTAGACAAAAATAACTTAAAACTAACATTTTTCAAATGTGTATGTAGTCAAAACAAACCTTGGTGTCATGGTCATTCAGGCTTTCTGTAATAAATCTTAGAAGCAGCCATAGCTCCTTCACACACATACAATTGAAAGGGGAGGAATGTACAATCCTGTCCTGATTCAGCTAAAATACGAAAGGTGAATTAAAATTAACAAAACAACATGAAAAATTACAATGATACCAAATACTTACCTTGTTAAATTTCAAGACTGCAATTTCAACTAAGTCAATAATACAAAACCTTATAGTGGACTGCAATAAATTTTCAATGCTTTGTTCAGCACTATAAGGCTGTAACATAGCAGCTATTTCTGTGGCCTCAAATATTGATGTGGACTTCAAACATTCAGAAAGTGCCCAAAGGACACTTATATGAAGCCACCTGGCTTCTAAATGGCAATGAAATAGATGATGGCCTGGTGACTGCAATAAAATATAAGAGGTGCAGTTTCTGTAAAACTACTAGCAAATTGAACCTTTGGCAAGAATAATGATAGTTTTTCTTACATTTTTCACTTGAGAATGGCTCAACACATAATTAGGCAGGTCATTTAAAGAACCAATCTGGTTCCGTAATAGATCCAATCCTTTCAATAAAGTTGGAAGGGTTTCTTTCAGTATCCATGATTTGTCTTCGCTTTCGCCTTGACTGCAAATTGAAATGTAGATTAAAGAGTTTATTATAGGATGAGACATGACAGCCGGAGGTGAATGGTCTTTACTAACAAGAGAAGTTGCGAGTAACATACCTTTCAACAAACAAGTGAAGCATCGCAAAAAATTCGCGCAAATCTTGTCTGACTTCATCTAAATTAACAGTTGCCAGGGTACTTGTATCAGATGTGAATCCATAAGTCCCCATTTTCTGTGTTGAATCAATCAAACAAAGTTTATTCCTGTTGGTTGAAAGCATAAAGGCATAATAAAATATTGTGAACATTGTCTTTAAAAAAGCATACAGAGGATTGGTATTATGTCCAATACAAACCAGCAAACTCTAAATAGTCGTTTCAATTCATCTTTAGATGTGTCCATGTCAAATTCTTGGTTAAACACTGTCACAAAACTAGACTTTTTTGAATGAAGACTAGAGGGATTTGTTATAGCCCCTGACATTATAAATCCTCGCGGGTCAAATGATGCCTTCTTTTCGGCATCACTAACACAGTGAAATCCTATATTTCCTGAATGAATAAAACGGAAAGTGCTTAGACAAACATGCAGATAACCTCAGCAATTTTAAGTCTAAAAACTTTTAATACCTCTTTCACGTAGATAATTACTCGTACTCGTGGTTTCATGTGTTGGGGATATTGGGGGCGTCATTATCTCCATTGTAAAATTATTTGGTTAAAACCACAAAATCTGCAATACGACAAAGACTCCAACCAACAATGAGCACCTAAATAAAACCATAAAAATCTAAACACAGCGGTGAATCCCGCGTGAATTTCGTGCATGACGGTATGAGAAATCCAACGCAACAACATTGTGTATGAGAAATTGTGTGCTCGCATCACGAAACAGTCGAAACGGCAAACAGTACAGTTTACCGTGTAGTAGCCAGTAGTCTAGCCTTGATTTCCCCTTCCCTGGCGGTTCGAAGGACTCCTGTCTTTCCTGTTCAGATTGTTTCTCACCGAAACGCTATTTTCATGTCAGAAGCGGAGCGGGGTCGCACTCGCGCTCTGCTTCAGCCTGGGAGGTAGGCAGTGTGGGTGCAAGCTCACACTGATGCGAGGCGGGATTGCCTACTGGCAGGCGCCCCGTCCCGCCAGTCTTAAAGTCTTTCGTGTCTTATTGAGTGGAAGGTTGGGTTGTAATGAAGATAAAACAGGTTAAATAAAAATAATTTATTAGTACAAGCCATTCTTGCCTGCAATCCATTGACAAGTCGCACACATAAATTAAAATTTGAGGCCCGTCTGCTGACCTGCAATCTGTTACAGGCAGAAAGTCTTATTTAAGAAATCTTTTACAAGCTGCGAGTACAGTGTAAAGTTTTGATTCGGTGATTTCTAATCTAATATTTCACTTTGAAAAAAAAAACAGAAGTTAGAATTTGAAATTTGGCAGCTGCAGCAGTCCCACGGAAAGTGGCCTCCTTCGGGTCGAAGGAGCGAAGAGGGGTCGGCTGGCATTTGGTCCATGATGTCCTTGATGGCGCGCGGTCTGGGCGTTTCAACTGCCAGGACTAATGACTCTGGTGTACAATCGTCCAGGATCCCTGAGATCCGTCGTGGCCGCCCTCTCTTCCTTCTTGGGGAATGACACCGCAGACTGGTCACTGGTCACACTCGCACTGGTCGAGCCAACTGGCTCTGGAAAGTTCATCCCTACGACGCCGTGCCCTCGCGTCACTGTCACTGCGTCTTGCCGCTGTCTGCGGACACGCCCTCGAACACGTTGTTGATTATGTTGGCCGTCTCCACGTTGTCCAGCATCGAGTTGTGGTCGCCGTCGACGAAGTGGACGGCTATCTTCTCCTGTTGGAACTGGAAAGGAGAAAAGAGAGCACGACATGAGCATCTTCCGCGTGTACACTGTTGTGACTCGTGGCCAGCTTGACGGCTTACCATCGCGGAGAGGCCGTAGTCGTCCGCGTCGTGCTTGAAGGTGATGACGTTCGGCCTGACCAGGGTCACCGTCGTCTGGATCTTCTCCGGCGCGGCCTGGTAGTTGTTGACGGCCACGGAGCGGTGCAGGAAGGACACGCACGCGTTCTTCTTGTGCTCCTTGCTGTAGCCGGGCGTGTTGGGCGTGATGGCCAGGAAGTGCTCCAGCCTCGCGTCCCACGTCGGCATCTTCATGAGGTCCTCTCGGAGCTGCGCAACAATGGCATGGTTTAAGAACGTGCCTGACTGCCTCACGGCCAGACTCCTACTAGACTCCGGAGGTAAACGCCACGAAATAAAAGCAAAAGCTGACCTTTGGTGGGGGTACGATCTTGAGCTCCAGCAGCAGTCCCATGAGCACGGCGATCTCCAGCTCGGTGGTGTTGTTGTCCTCGCTGATCCAGGACGACGTCATGGCCTGCATGCCGGCGGGGGCGCCGTCCAGCAGCACCAGCTCGCCCTTGTGGCCGTCCCGCTCCAGCATGCGCGTCAGCTCGCACGAGACCACGCCGCCGAACGAGTAGCCCACCAGTCTGAAGGGCGCCCCGGGCGCGAGGTGGGCCTTGATGTGCTGCGGGGGTAAAGACACAACATTAGTACGAGCATGCCCGGCATCCAGCGAGAGCAGCGTAGCCGAGGGGGCGCACTTTGTAGATGGTGCTGGCGAAGTCGTGAATGGTGGTCTTCTTGTCGTCGTTGTAGGGGAGCTGCAGCACCAGCGTCGGCGACTTGAGGTTCTCGCACAGCGATTTCAGCATCACAGCCATACCTGCAGGAAAGGGAAGGATGTTAATCACGCGAGAAAAAGAGCTGAAAAGTAGCCGCATTGGCCTGAGTCAACATGAGTGAACGCACCTTCGATTCCGGGGACCAGGAAGATGGGGGCGACGTTCCCCTTGGGCGCCTTGCTCGGCAACGTGACGATGGGCTCCTGCGCCATGTCCTCGGTGCCGATGGACCTCATGAGGAAGCGTAGGGCCTCCTCACGCAGCTCCGAGGGCGCTGCAACGAGTCAAGGCAGTTAGGAAGGACGTCGATCCAAGTGGGAAAACTGACTGAGGGAATGATCAGGCCGCGCGGCAAACTTACAGATTACTTTCTCCTTCTTCGGGCCATCCTCTGCCGTGGCCTTGGCGATTTCCTGCAGCTTGGCGAAGGTGAGGGACCGGATGTCCTGCGCGGTGAGGAACACCTCGAACTCGCGCTCCAGGGTCTGCTTGATCTCCACGGCCATCATCGAGTCCATGCCGAGCTCGGCCAGCGTCGAGTGCAGCGAGACGGTCTTGAGGTCGCGCAGCCCCAGGATGTTGACGACGGCGTCGACCACGTTGCCGCCCGCGCCGGAGCCCGCGCGCTTCTCGGCCACCACCATGGAGGCCACGACGGCGCAGGGCTGCCGCAGGAAGCTGTCGAGGACGTACAGGCAGGACGAGATGCGCTGCTGCAGCGTGCCGCCGATGACCAGCTCGGTGTGCTCCTCCTGCATCTCGGCCACCAGGCCCACCTCGCCGATGGCGCCCCACTGCACGGCCAGGCCGCACAGCCCCTCGGCGCGCCGCCGCTCGCAGATGCGCTCCATCACGGAGTTGGCCATGCCGTAGTTGGTCTGGCCGGCGTTACCGCGGCCGCACGACACCGACGAGAAGCACACGAAGTGCTCCAGCTGCGGGCACAGGGTGCGCGTCAGCTTGTCCAGGTGGCGCGTCGCGTCCGCCTTGGGGCCGTGCGACGTCTGGAACTCGGCCGCGTTCTGGTTGTCCAGCATGGCGTCGCGCAGCACCACGGCCAGGTTGAAGATGGCCAGCACCGGGCCCAGCTTGTTGGCCTCCTCCAGCAGCTGGCGGCAGCCGCTCTCCGTGGTGATGTCCGCCGTGGAGATGACCACCTCGACGCCGTACGAGCGCCACGTGCGGATGCGCAGGGCCTGGTAGCCGGTGCGCATGCCGGTGCGGGAGGTGAGCACCAGCTTGCGGCAGTCGCGCAGCACCAGCCAGTCGGCCAGCTCCAGGCCGAAGCCGCCCAGGCCGCCGCACACCACGTAGGAGGCGGACTTGTGGCAGAAGAAGCGCGGCGCGGCCTGCATGGGGCACTGCTGCGGCTTGGCCAGGCGCTGCTCCTCCTCGTCGCGGATCTTGATCACCACCTTGCCGATGTGCTTGCCGGCCGCCATGAAGCGGAAGGCCTCCTCGACGCGGTCCTGGGGGAACACCTCGCGGGTGAGCGGGCGCACGCCGCCGGCCAGCATGCCGTCCTTGACCACCTGGTGCACCTCCAGCTTCTCCTCGGGGGTGGCCTCGAACAGGTTGTCCAACATGATGCCGTGGAAGGAGGTCTCCTTGAGGAACATCTCCATGCCCAGAGGGTTGTTGTTGGCCAGATCGAACTTGCCGATCTCCAGGAAGCGGCCGCCGTGCGCCAGGCAGCGCACCGAGGCCTGCAGCTTCTCCTCGGCCAGCGAGTTGAGCACCATGTCCACGCCGCGGCCGTTGGTGGCCGTCATCACGTCCTGCTCGAAGGAGCACGAGCGCGAGTCGAAGATGTGCGCGTCGGTGATCTGGGGCCAGCGCTTCTTGATGAACTCGCGCTTCTCGGGCGTGCCGACGGTGGTGTAGACGATGCAGCCCGCGTGCAGCGCGATGTTGATGGCGGCCTGGCCGACGCCGCCCGAGCCCGCGTGCACCAGGACGGTCTCGCCCTTCTGCATGCGCGCCGCCCGCTGCAGCGCGAAGTACGACTGCAACAACAACAACACACGTCACACTCGCTGTCTCTCCCTCGCCCAGCCCGACCAGGCCCAGCCCTCCACTCACCGTGCCGTAGACGACGGGGATGGTGACGGCGTCCTCCAGGCTCCAGTCGTCGGGGACGTCCCAGATGAGCGTCTTGTCGCAGATGATCATGTTACTGAGCGCGCCTCGCGACATCATGCCCATGACGCGGCGGCCCTCGCGCGTGCGCCCGGCGAACTCCAGGCCCTGCACGCACTCCTGGTTGAGGCGGCCGTGCGCCGCCACCTCGGTGGCCAGCTTGCCCGTGGCCGTCATGATGTCACGGAAGTTGAGCGCCGAGTAGTACACGTGCACGAACTCCTGGTCGGGGTTCAGGTGGATGGGCCTGTCGAGCAAAAGCGGCTGTGACTGTGCAAGTTCGTGAACAAGGAGTGTGCACGGTGAGCACGGCGTCTTACTTGGACGGGTCGATGCTGCCCTCGAACCACTTGAGGGTGCTGAGGTCACCGCGCAGGCCCACGTTGACGTAGGCGTGGGGCACGGTGATGAGGGCGTTGGGGGGCATGGGCAGGTGGCGGTAGCTGCCCCACAGCCCGTCCTTGAGCACGCTGGTGGCCAGGTCCTTGCGGAGCTGCGCCGCGTACAGCGGGTGGTCCAGCGCGAAGGCGGGGGCGTTCTTGTCCACGATGAACACGCCGCGGCAGCGGTCGCCGGTGGGCGGCTCCTTGCGGATGCAGTTGACCAGGCCGATGATGCCGTTCTCCGGCTCGCCCTGCGCCACCACGATAACCTTCTTGGTGCTCTTCTCGTCCTTCATGACCTCCTTGAGCTGCTCCAGCCAGTCGAAGTGCGTCTGGGTGATGTTGATGACGATGGGCGCCTCCTTGAGGGGCACGCTCTGCAAGTCGGGCAACGCAAGGTCAGTCTCGCTCCTTGTGGGGGCCCACTAGGCCTCGGGGCTCGGTGCCGCACTCCACGGTCGGGGCCTACCTTGCGCAGCAGCACGAGGCGCTCCTCGTGGTCGTCCTCGCGGTAGGTCTGGTCCACGCACACCTCGATGCCGTCCACGATGGTGGCGCCGGGCTTCTCGCGCGACAGGATGAAGCCGCCCTCCAGGACGCTGGCCATCGCGGCCTGCAGCAGCTGCGAGACAGAAGAACACACTGTAAGAAACGGACGGCCGCATCGACCTCATCCTCGTCTCGGTGCGCGTGAGCGAGACTCACCTCGGTGCGGCTGCTGACGTCGGTCGCCATGACCACGATGGCGCCCTGCTCGCTGGCCAGCTTCTTGTCCTCCACGTTGATGTTGGAGGGGAGGTCCTCGGGGATGAGGGGGTGGTCGGCGGGCGCCAGGACCTGCAGCTCGGCCTGGATGAGCGGCAGGTCGCCCAGGATCTCGGCCATGATGGGCGTGAGCAGGCCCTCGGCCGCGCGGCTCTCGCTGTCCACCACCTCGATCGTCTTGAGCTTGATGTTCTGCACGGACTCCATGGCGACGTGCACGGCGAAGCGCAGCGCCGTCTTGCGGTCCAGCGGGCGGTCCGCGGGCGCGGTGGTGTGGGGCAGGAACTGGTAGGTCTCGAGCACGGGCTCGCCCAGGGCCTTGCGCCGCTGGATGGCGCTAGCCTTGAGGCCGCGCACCTCCACGCCGCCAGCGCGGATCATTTCGATCTCGGGGATCACGTAGGCGAACAGCTCGGCTGCGAGGGGGACATTCGTGTCAGCTAAGACGCTACTCAACAAGCTCTGCCAAAGGCCGAGGGATGCTTACGGGTCTTGCCCTCCTCCAGGGTGGCCGAGGCGGCCGCCACGGCCTCGGAGTGCGCCTTGGCGTCGATGACCAGCTTCTGAAGGGACGTGGGCACGAACAGGCCGCGGGTGTCCGCGTGCAAGATCTGCAGCTGCAGCATGTTGTCCATGAAGGCGACGTAGTTGTTGTGCCAGGCGATCTTGCCGGTGGAGCCTGCAACGAGCCCACTCCGCAGTTTAAATGACATTCCTACCCAGCTGTTTGGAGAAAAGGCTTTGTGAAGTGGCGTGCTGACCGAGGTTGTCGATGTCGACGACACTGCGGAACAGGCCGCTGTAGTTGTAGCCTCGCAGGCGGAGTTCCTTGTACACGTCGCGGCCCTTCAGGTCGATGAGGTCCTTGCCGGAGGGCTTCTCTGGCGGCGGCAGGTCCACCATCTCCTTGTCCACGTCCTCGGGCACGTACACGCGGCCCGTCACGATGGCGGCGCCGCCCTCCACCACCTCGAAGTTGCCGGAGGCCTTCTGCACCATCACGATGAACTCGATGTTGCCTGGGGACGAGAAGCACGCCGCCGTCAACGACACCTGCCACCCGAGAGGTCTCCGCCAAGGCCGCCAAGGCCGCCGCCGTCGCGCTCACCGTCCTTGCTGATGTTGGTGGCGCGGTGGAACCTCACGTCCTCGAACACGATGTTCATGTCGGTGTAGATTTCTCCTCGCATCAGCCCCACCGTCTCCCACACCAGGTCCTGGAAAAGAATCAACCGCCGTTCAGTGATTTAATGCTTTTTTTTTTCAGGAGGAGGGGGTGAGACTGGGGGCTCACCAAGTAGCCGGTGGCGGGGAAGAGGTTCCTGCCGTCGATGACGTGGCCGGTGTAGTACTCCTGCTCCTCGTCGTTGACGTTGATGATGACGGTACGCTCCCCGGACTTGATCTTCTCCTGCATGCGGTACGAGGTGACGTACCAGTCCTCGCTGTGCTCCCAGCGCACCAGCGGCGAGATCATGGGGGTGCCGCGGCTCACGGGGAACTCGACGTCGGGGTACAGCTTGTGCAGCTTGGGCTGGCAGCCGGCGATGAAGGTCCTGGGGCACGACAAAGGGCCGTAAGAACGGGTGGACCTCTAATTTTTCTTGTTTACGGGGTTTGTACTTACTTTCCGAGCGCGGCGAGCAGGTTGGAGGTGGCGTCGGGGCTGTCGCGCTGGGTGAGGGGCAGGACGACGGCGTCCTCGGGCATGGCGCGGCGCAGCACGTCCAGCAGGATGGGCGCTGGCGCGATCTCGATGAGCAGCGCGTCCTCGGGGACGTGGCGCAGCACCTCCTCGAAGAGCACGGGGTTCACGAGGGAGTTGCTGTGGTACTCGGCCGAGCTGAGGCGCGCGGCGGGCGAGTTCCAGTCCTTCTCGGGCACCGACGTGGACAGCCAGCGCTGCGAGCGCGGCGCGGGCGAGGGGATCACCTGGTCGAGGTACTTGCGCAGCCGGGGCAGGGCCTTGGCCACGAAGCGCGAGTGGTACGCGATGTTGGAGCAGTTGACCTCCTTGGCCAGCACGCCCTTCTTGGCGAGGTCCGCGATGAAGGTGCGCACCACCTCGGCGGGGCCGGACACGGTGCACGAGTCGGCCGAGTTGTGGCAGGCCACCTCGACGTCGGGCGGGCACAGGGGCTTGATGTCCTGGTAGCCGAGCGCCACGGCGGCCATGGCGCCGCGCTGGAAGTCCGTCTCCAGGGACGCCAGGCCGCGGTAGTAGGCGGCCAGGATGGTCTGCTCGGCCGTGAAGGAGCCGTCGGCGTAGGCGCACGCCAGCTCGCCCACCGAGTGGCCGATGATGCGGTCGGGCTCGATGGCCACGCAGCGCAGCACGTCCACCAGGCCGATCTGCACCGCCGCGATGCCCACGAACGAGTTGAGGATGTTGTCGAACGTGTGCGCGTCGCGGGAGGACAGGATCTTGATGACGTCCACGCCCTTGGGCTGCAGGGTCTGGTGGCAGCGCTCCACGGCCGCGGCGAACACGGGCAGCTGCATCAGCGACGCGGCCATGGCGGGCCACTGCGAGCCCATGCCGGAGAACACGAACCACACCGGCCGGGGCTCACCGGGGAAGAACTGCGGGCAGGGTGGCGGGTTCAAACACCAGAGTTGCGGCGTGTTTTCCGCAGGACATTCGGGGGGCTACTCTACCTGGATGTCGCGGTACTTCTCCTCGGCGCCGAGCACGGTGTAGCCGCGGTAGAGGTGGCCGGGGATCTCCTCGGCGTGGATGTCGTGCAGCAGGCGGACGAACTCGGCGTCCACGGGGCGTGACTCGGCCTGCGGGAAGGGCAAGCGGGGCTCGGTGAAGGCATCGCTCTTGGCAGGCTACGCGAACACCACGGTAGCGGTACGTACGTCGTTGAGGATGGTCTCGATGGCCTCGTGGGTGCGGCCCGACACGGCCACCACGCGGGGGATGCCGTCCTTGGGCTGGCCGCCGTTCACCTTCTCCTTGGTGTTGGACTTGATGAGCACGTGGCAGTTGGCGCCGCCGAAGCCGAACGAGTTGATGCCGATGAGGCCGCCGGGCCAGGGCGTCGCGTCGGTCACCACGCGCATGCGGTTCTCCTCGAAGCCCTTGACGCCCTTGCGCGGGTTGTGGAAGTGGATGTTGGGCACCAGCTTGCCGGTCTCCATGCAGATGATGCACTTGGTGACGGAGCACAGGCCGGACGCGGGCTCCGAGTGGCCGATGGACGACTTGATGGAGCCGATCCACAGCGGGTCCTTGCGGCCCGTGCAGAACACTGTGTCGAGGGCGGCCAGCTCCTCGGGGTCGCCGACCTTGGTGCCCGTGCCGTGGGCCTCCACGAAGCCCAGCGTGCGGGGGTCGACGCCGCACTCCTGGTAGAACTCCTCCAGCAGCCGCTGCTGCATCTGGCCGGAGGGGTACGTGATGCCCTGCTCCTTGTAGCCGTCGCAGTTCGTCTTGGCGTGCACTAGGTTGGCGTAGACGCGTTTGGCGTCCTTGGACTTCTGCAGGAAAATGACGACGATTGCCTCGGAGCGGCAGTAGCCGTTAGCTGCACGAAAGAACATCCCGACATTGAATTAGAAAGACATGTAGCAGTTCGAGCAACTTTGCGGCGGGTGGGCTCTCAAACGAGTGCCACATCCGCCAACGTGCGCCCTCGACTCACCGTTCTCGTCGAAGGACTTGCAGGTGCCGTCGCGGGACAGGACTCCGAGACGGGAGAACTGCAGGGACACGTAAGGGTGCAGGCACAAGTTGCAGCCGCCGACGATGGCCGCGTCGCAGTGGCCGTCGCGGATGGACTTGTAGGCGTGCTCCAGGGCGTACAGCGAGGACGAGCAGGCCGAGTCCACGGTGTAGCTGGGGCCGTTGACGCCCAGCCAGTACGAGATGCGGTTGGCCAGCATGGCGCGCGAGCATCCCGTTATGCCGAAACCGTTCACCTCCAGCTTCTCGTAGAACCAGGTCTTCTCCGACTCGGAGAAGCACGCCCCGATGAACACGCCCGTCTTGGTGCCGTACAGGCTCTGGGGGTTCAGGCCCGCGTCCACAATGGCCTCGTACGACTTCTCCAGCAGCAGCCGGCACATGGGGTCCATGGCGTGGGCCTGCTTGTAGTGGATGCCGAAGAAGGCGGCGTCGAACTTGCCGACATTGTTGATCTTGCCGGTACGCTGGGGGATCTCGGGGTGGTCTGGAGGAGCAGACGGCGCAAGTGAGCGACAGTAACACAGTGGGTCAGAAGACCGGGGGAGGCGCCCAAAACTCTCGACACGTTTTGAGCTCCAGAGTCGCTAAATGGAACTCGAACCGAGCGTGTGACCACACCAATGGATTCCTCGTTCGGAGAGCAATTCATTGGTGGGGTCACACGTTTGGTTCGAGTCCCATTTAGCGACTCTGGAGCTCAAAACGCGTCTATAGAGTTTGGACCACGCGCCACGCCCACTGAGAGACGGCGGGCACGGCGCCCGCCAAGTCCGGCATAGGCAACACGCAGCACCCTCTCTCTCCTCACCGAGTTTCCAGCGGCGGTCGTCGTCCGACACCAAGTCCACCTTGTTGTACAGTTTGTCCCGGAACTCGTACACGTTGTCCGAGTCGGGGAGCATGCCCGCCAGGCCGGCGATGACCACCTCCTCGCCGGGGGCGGGCCTGGCGAGCCGCATGCCATTGCGGATGGCGGCGGGGATGCCGTCTTTGGGCAGAGGCTCACAGGCCGGCGGCGCCATCGTGTAGCGGTCCAAGCAGCTCGAGTGGCAGATGGGGTAAGTCTGCAGACGAAAGGCCCACGTTAGAAAGCCTCCGAAGTGCCGTCTCGTCGCTCTGTCTCTGTCGCACTCATGGCACGTCCCGTAGGGTTGCGAGAGAGACAGCAAACGGTGGCCAGGGGCGGAAATACACCTCACTTCAACTGAAAAAGACTGGGTCTTTGTAACGGCTCGGGTAACCTTGAGGGCCTTGAGGGGCAACTGATGTGTAGTGAAGTGCAGACCGCGGGCCGGGCAGGGCCGTGCCGGGCGAAGGGGCGCGGGCAGGGCCGGGCGAGCGGAGAATCCCCTCACCTGACGGTCTGCTTAAAATTGTCGAATGTTAATTCGGTTCGGTTTGCGCTTTCATGCATAGCAAAGAGGGCCAGCCTTGGGCGGCCACCCGCTCGCGCTCTCGTCGCTCAGAGGCATCTGCGTCAACCACTTATTTGTTGCCACTGAATCGAGAAAGCCGGGTATACCGACACCTTGTGCTCATGTGTGACTTGGGGGGACTGCACATTGTAACCAATTCAGAAAACAGAACCGGAAACTTTCGATCACAAGTGATGCTCTACTAAAACTGGCAAAATGGATTCAAAGAAATTTACAAACTTTGGCCAAATGTGAGCGCCAAAATACATCTTTCACGACAAGAATAACACTTTTTTTCTAATGAGTTCAAATATTCACAAAGAATCTACAACACAGTCTGCTTTCTAACCGAGACACCTCGAAACCGATGAAAAGGAGTGTGTTCTAACGCACAGGAAACCAAAACTTGTGAGCGCGTATAATTCAGGCTAATTGGTAGCGAGCAGACTGATTAGTAATTTATTTATTTATTCATTACGCCTCGATTCCCACAATCGCCTATTTTGTCAACACCGGTCGCCGCTTCCTTAATGAAGCCCCCTGCTGCCTCTGCAACGACGCCACTGGCTTGGGGAGGGGGGAGGGGGGGCACTCAGGTGTCTTCTTTTCGAAGGGAGCGGGGGGCCCTTGGGAACAGTTGACTGAGTTGACAATGACCAGGCAATAGCTCGTGTACTTTTATCCGAATATACGTGTACTAGCTGTTCCAAGGAGTTCTGACTTCTTTCGATCGGATATAGTGCGTCATGCCTATGGCTTTCAAAAAACTCTTAATTAAATTCATAACTAACCATTTTTTTTGTTTTTAAACGAGGAAAGCCAAAATGAGCCTCCAAGGGGGCCGCTCTACAATCCTTTTCCGGGTGCACCACTGCGTATTTGCCGTGGTTCCACTCCATCCCCCTCCCCTTCCCTTCCCTTCAAATAAAAATATCAAGGAGAAGTTTTCTAAAAGTGTCGAAGTTCCGGAGTTTAGAATGGAAACGATGTCGTTGAGGCACGAAAGCAACTGACAAAGGGGTTGAACGGAGGATGGTCGCGGTGGCAAAGACACCATCCAATGCATCGGGACCTGCGTCCTCGTCCCACGCACACGCACACACTCGCTGTAATCCTTGCTGCAGTAATCCATTTGGCGGAGCACGATGCACGATGCAAGAACTTGATTTTCGTCGTTCCGACAAACAAACACTTTTCCGAATGTGGCAATGAACCTCGACTCACCTGGTTGCGGGGGTTGCTTGTTGCGGGGACGGGACGGACTCCTTGACGGGGCGGTGGTGCTGGTGGTGCTGGTGGTGCTGGTGGCTAGTGGCTGTTGGTGGAAGCGGGCAGGGCCTCTTGTCTCACTTCCACGCGGTTCGCCACTGCGGCACTGCGGCCGACCCATCGCGCCGGGTCGTTTTATGTCCTCGGCCGGGCCGCGCCGCCGCGTCACGGAGGTCGCGTCCGAGAGGGTGGCCGTCGACGCGTCGCCATGGCGTCGCCGCGGCCGGCGGGCTGCGTCCCGGGCGTCCGTGTCATCCTCGTCGCCCGGCCCGCTTGGGTGGCTTGGGCCGGCGGGCCGGCACAGGTAGGGTAGGGTGCCCCTGCGCGGCTAGGTAGCATGCCCTTGCGCGGCTAGGATGCCCCTGCGGCCTGCGCGGCCTGCACGACTAGGGTGCCCAGGGTGCGCCGGCAGCGCGAGGCCGTTTCGCGGTGTCTAGACGGAGGCGCGCTGTTCTTCGTTTCTCTGTTGCTTCCGATGAGGCCGGCCCGCCACTGCCGCCACTCTGCCGCAACAGCCGCGCCCCGCAAGTCGCTGGTTTTACATGCATTACCGGCGCACTCCGCACCCAAACTGCACGCCATGCACGCCACCGCAAGCAGCAAGCCCCTTCTAGACGGCGCCAGGGCGGCGCGGCCCACGGAGGACGAGGAGCTGCCGCCTGATTCCTCTCGGGGTTTCGTCGCTCCGTCTCTCTCGCACCCCTACGGAACGCCCCATGAGTGCGAGAGAGACGGAAGAACGGCAACTTCGGCATGCTGCATTCGGTCGCGACGGGGTGGACGGGGTGGGCTGGGTCAGGCACCAGGCCATGCTTCCGTTTCTCATCCCCTCCCCTGGCGCCCCCTTCCGGGTGGCTCGCTCCCTGGTCACGCCCCTGCAGGCCGGCGCGGCTAGGATGGGCTAGGAGCGACTGGTCATTCCCCTCCGCGTCCACGCCGTCCACGCCGTCCACGCCGGCCAGGCTAGCGCGAGGCGCACGCCGCAGATGACGTCATCGCCAGCGTCACCCGGCGCGCGAAGCGCGAACGGCGGAAAACTTTGTATGTGCTGCCGAAAAATCGCCAGGTGCGCGTGGTATTACGAAAGTCCTCCTCACGCCACCCCACCCCCCTTTCCCATGGCGGTCACGTTGGTCCCTGACGGCCCCTGACGTGCGCTTGAACGCGGTGTCGTACACTACGACGCACCGCATGCCGCCTAACCGCCCATCGACGCAAATCGAGCAGCGACAGGAAGCGCTCGACGAGAAGTTAGTTTGTAGTCAGTGAGTGCACAACGTTGCCCAGTCGGCGGAGGGACAAATAGAGAAACGGCGCGACCGGCGTTAGCATGCCAAAATAATTTTGAGGCTCTTGGTAACTACATTTCGACGGGAAATTTTCAAGTTTTAATTTTGATGGCGTTGTAATTGTTGGTTTGCCGTTTTGGTTTTCAGCCTCCAGTCTTGGCAAGCTCTCCGCTTGACCTGTCCTTTAGTTGCATGGTGTACGACCCCCAGCACACTGCTACGTGGATCTTGCAACCTCTGTGTTTGTCGTCCGAGGCAGTGCGATTCGTAGTTACGTCGTAGGTCATGGCTGCCTTGCGTGCCTTGCTGGCCGCGGTGTCGAGGGAGAGGAGTTCAACGCACTGAATTAGATAGAACGGCTGCCCGTCTGCAAACCGAGTCGCTTCAACCCAGCAGGGAGACTTCAAACGGGGGAGAAAAACACCCCTCGCGGTCCGCCTACGTGGCCCCTGAATGTAGCCTGATTCCGAGAGTTGTTTTCATAGCTCTGCCTCTCTCGCGCCTACACTATATGGGACGCTCCATGAGTGCGAGAGGTTCAGTCTGCTGAGAGGGGGCGGTACGAGTGCCACTGCCGTTCGCTCCAGTGTGGGGAACAAGACTGGAAGGGAGCAGCCTCCTCGTGCTCGTGCCGGGAAGTACTTGCCGTTCTTTCCACTGTGCCCTGCCTCAACGGCGGTGCTTCCCCGTCCACCGTTTTATTCTGTGAGTGCACACCCGCGAGGCGGGGTAGGGACACCCGCGGTGACCCGAGGCGGTGACCTCCCACGCCTCGACTCGGCGACCGCCTCGGGGAGCTTCGAGCTTCGCCTGGCTTGGCCTGGCTTGGCGTCCCGTTGCGCGTTGCGCGTTGCGCGGCCCCACCGCACCTCATAGAGCTCTGCTCGGGTCGAGGACCCTCCCCTTCGTTCGGGCCCGCCGCTCCGTCTCTCTCGCACTCATGGGGCTCGCCGTAAGGGAGCGAGAGAGACAGCGTCGAAAGCAGAGCTCGGAATCGGCCGTCTGAGAGCCTTCGTCGCGCGACGCGACGCGCTACACTACAAGGGAACCGTCTAATGCTAATTCGCGGCAGAAGCCGAGACGACTCGCTAGGAACAGGAACAGGCCAAGTAGGGGTAGGCGCAACCCCAGACACACGGACTGGACTGGCCTAGGGACTGGCCTGCGCCGCCCCTATCCACAATTGTCTCAATTTTTGGCTGATTCCTCTGCATTTGTGGTGTAATTTTCGGAAGTGGTCTGATTGACCCAGTCTCTCTCTGATAGCCTCACCGGTTCCAGTGTAAATATTGGATTTGGATGAAACTTTAGAAAAACTTTGCTTTGGTTGTATTTGAAAGATGCTCTTCAAATTTCGACCTGAGTGTTACTTTTTAGCCTCGTGCAGTGATTGGGAGGGGTTGAGTTGTGAATAAAATCGCATCACATTTGCACAAGAAATTTATTTTACATTTGTAAGAGGGGAGAGGGGAAATATATGTATATAAATATAAAAAGTGACCAAAGGACAAAGAGTAAACTTAAATGAATTAATGGACTTCAAACAAAACAAACAACAATATTAAAGGTCAAAAACTACAGATTTATTCCTATGGCAATTTTATAACATATTTGGAAGTGAACAGGAAGCTGCCTTTTTCTCAAAAAGTCGTCCAATATAAATTTTGTTGCCTCACCACCTAAGTTTCAAAGGGCGAAGGAAACAAATCTACTAAAGTCAGTCAGTGTCTCTGGCTAATGCCTTGACATTTTGGAATGAACTGCAACAAGTTCTTAACAAATAAACTGATTCGAATTACAGTGAAGGGGAAGCCCAATTAAGAAAGAATACTGAACAATAAATGAAGACTTATCACATGCTGATCAAGATGGTCAATCAGAAAAACAGTACCAGCAAAGATTCCACTAAAAATATTTTCAAAATTTTTTTAATCTCTCATTGACAGTTTTTAAACAACTTTTTTCCCAGGCTTCATGACATAACTGACTTCTTAGAGTAAAGAAGGGATTGCAAACCATCTAGACACAATTTAACTTCAGAAAATACATTCAGTGACAGTAATAAAGATAACAAGAGAGAAGGAAAAGTGAAGAGACACTAGATGCTAAAACAAACAAAGCTGTAGAATTTTCAAAGCAAGGGTGCATTGACTAGGCCAATTCTTCAATTCACCTGCATTTCATATCATAGCAATGTTAAACAACTTTGTCAGCATACAAAACAAAACCCTCAGTTGTAAGTACATTTCAATCAATAAAACACAAGAGTCTATAAATAGTTTTGCCAAAGACGATAAATAAAAACCAATCATTTTAAAGGCCAATTTCAAATATAACTAAACAGCTGAGTTGAGACAATACTAATAAAATCTGTTGCTCTGATAAAATACTGATACAGTGATGAGATGCTGCTTCTACAAAGGCACCACATTGTCCTCAGACTTAAAAAGTCACATCAATCACATATATTAAACATATTCTAGAGCTGCTTATTAAATCTGCTGGACTTTCATAAGGAAACAAAATATTCCATTAAAAATAAAGCTGCCCATTAAAAAGTAAACATATTTTTCAAAGCCCCAACCAACTCAGGAAGACTACAGCTTCAATATCACGTGCAGAAAAAAATAACAACATTAAAGCTGACTAAATTATAATACAAGGTTCGTCTATGAACTGTTTAGCCACATAATATGACAAAGAGCCTTTTCTTACACAAGTGAAAAAGTTGAATTGGTGTTTATATAAAACTAGATTCCTGATATCCAAATTGTAGGCAACTTTGCATTTCATAAACAGTTAATTATCATAAATTAATACAGGACAATCTTTTGGTTGACTAGCTCAGTTATACAGCCACAGCAATGTGACAGGATCAGGCAAAAGAGTAACATTCTTGCAGCTCAGATCATTTGGGGATTGAGGTCATAGCTGTTTTAGCCTGTTCCTAAAAATGAGACCAGCTAAATGGATTTGGGAAACAAAATTGTCTGATTTTCTCCCAAAATCCAAACAGAACATTTCTAATAGCAAACTAGACCAGATGTAAATGTTGTACAGGATAAGGCTAAGTCTCAAAGTGTATGTAGATCGCTGTAACATATGCCATAATTTGTTGCCAATCCGGTCTCTCCAATTGAATCATATCGTTGATATTCTGGAACACAACATGATTGGTGATGTAAGAACAAGAATTTAAAATAGCTGTCTTACTTCTGAGAAGTTGAAATATGGAATAAAATGAAATAAAAAAATACAAACCAAAGTTGTGGGGATGCCAACCGACTCAGCAGCAGCAAAAGCAATCGTGAAGTTGCGTCGCTTTTCATTTGGTGTTAAGGAGTCATAAGGTACTCGATCAGGTAGGTACGAGTGAAGAATGGCACAAAACGCCAGTCCATCATTCCATGAACTTGAAAAGTTAGTTATATCTATATTACGGTAGCCAACTGTCTTATTTTGACACCATTTGAGTAAAGCATTTCGTTTGGAACCTCCATTTTTAACTAGAGGAGCTAGTGGATCCTTCCTTTCACCTGAAAAATGCAAACAGTTTCTCAGTATACACAATAGCCACAGAACTTACATAATGCTAATTAAGATAAGCTCTAGAAATAAACAAGCGAAACCTAAGTGATTGTTACACAGAAGCACACAAAAATACTACAACACAAACATACTCAGGTCACCACAGCTGTTTCGTCTTGTATAATCCATACTCTTGCTGGCAAGGATGGACACAGGCGTCGTGAGGCCAGGGTGGTGGGCTAAGTTGGCAAGTGCAAGGGGAGCTTGGGAAACCTGACTTCCCTCTTCACAAGGCTTCCCTATGCTGCTTTTAAGACTGTCCAGACTGTTAGCTTTGCCATTATCTGAAAGTGTACAGGCATGCAAATTGCAATGCATCAAATACTAGAATGCACAAATCAAACAAAAAATGCACAAAATATCTTGTCTCTACATTCAAGTGCACTACTACACAGCACAATAATGAATACGCTTGTGTGGTATTCAGATAGAAGTTCACTTTTAATTGAAAATTTAGAAACAACAACAAAACTCAAACAAGTAAAACAAGAGAGAAATATATGGAAATCTGAGCTACTCCAAAAATCAGTCATAAAAATTTCTACCACAAATAGTTGCTATTTTTTTTTTAAATTGCCAATATCTGAGTGGAGTCATATATTCAGCAACATGTAAACAAGATTTCACAATTGAAGTCATGCACAGTCATAGTTAAGACAGTACTCACCACTCAAGACATTTTTGCGAGATTGCTGCTGCACAAGTCGATTATTAGAATGCATGTTGTTATTATTGTTGTTGTGGAGTTGATTGTTATTATTTTGATTATTTGATTGTTGATCTCGCAAAGGCCCTTTAAATAAGGTTTCAGAGTCTGCCAGGGTGAGATGCCGTAAAGGTGAAGAAGGTGTTGATGGAGAAAAATTAGCTGTGCCAACGGCCACAGATGCTGCTCTGACATCACTTGCAATACTACTTAGGCTTGATGTAGATGAACTTCGGCTGCCACCAGGACCTAGAGAAATAGAAAAACCATTATGTTTGAGATAGCGTTTAAGACATGCTAAAAACGCAAGAATTGGCAATTACAATTAGAACCAGTACTTAATATCCCTATGGTTATTTGTTTATCAAAGTTTTCCATTGAAAAATGATACAACAGATGACCGTGATGCATAAGTAGTACATTCAAAAACCACTTGTTTACGAAAACAAAATATTCTAGTCTATAAAGAAATTACATCAACAAGAACCACTAGTATTTTGGAAGCAAAACATTCTATACTGACATCAACAATTTAAGACTAACACAAAACATCATGCATCACCAGTTCAATTTTTTTAAAATCATGCTGTTGTTTGAGAGTTGTCTCATTTGAGAATACAATGAAAAAAGATAGCCCAAATATTATTGATTTCCCTCATTTTCAATGTCCTGTTTTACAGTATTCAAATACACACATAAAAATCATGCAAATACTTAATTTTGTTTGTTTGTTTAAAACGCCAGTAAATACAAACATAAAATAGAACACACATACCCTTACTGGTCTTGGCTTGCTTTGTGGCATTCTCAATGCTTTCTATTAGGGACTTGACTGAGAGCCTCGAGTCCTGCCGCGATATACCAGGTTTGGTACGTCGAGCTGTGGCTATTTCATTCAGCACCGAATCGCCTACTGATGTGCCAATGGATGACGACATGGCACCAGACATGGATACTGAGCGTAGCATCACAGGCGGGTGGTGAGCAGGTGGGGGTGAGCCACATTTCTGGGCAGCTATACCATCAACAATAACCCATACAAAGCTAATGTTAGCCACAAAAATCGTGCAGAAATAAAACATAACAAAGGAAATAATGCCAATGATTGTTTAAACTCATGAATGAAACAACATGAATGTAATGCAAGACTTCATACCAACAAAATTCAACAACATGAAAAGACATCAGAAAACATGCCATGCAGACAGAGAAAAGAGATTTTACCAAAACCACTGGTTGCCCATGCACATAACACATATAATGATGGAAATGAAAATCCAAGGGGAGAAATAAACTGTTTTAAATTAATTTCTCCATTAAATCTTGTCCCTTGACAAAAATCTCAAATTGTTATTTAAAAGAAAAAAATGGCAAAAGCAGTAAAAGTTCTTCTAAAAAAAATTAACATCTTTTCCTGCAGGTAATAAAAATGAAAATTTAAAAAACAAAACAAAACAAAAACTGCAGGTTGATAAAAGAAGCAAAACAACTTGCGCATCAGAAGTTATGCAAGGTGAACACTGTCCACAGCCTCCATCTGCCAACCAGCGCAACAAGCAGCTTACTTAGAGCAATTAAAACAAAACAAATCAACTAAAACAGTTTTAGTTCCAGCATTCTTGGAAAGAATAAGAAAACCTGAAAATGGCCTGTTAGAGAAGATTCAATGGTAATAGAAATGTTTTGAGTAGTAAAGAGTATTTGGTTGTCCAATCAAACTTACAACCCCCAGGTTAAAATATCTCTCAAATATGTCCACTGTAACTAACAACTTCTGATTAGCTTGTTACAAAGGTAATCCAAAATCCTGGGTCAACTTCTAAAGCAACACACAAAAACCCTGTGGACAACACACTTAACACAGACTTACAAGGACAACACTGAACAGCTGATGGCAACTGGAGGTAAAAGCAATCGGAGTTAGGCAGTGAACCCACCTCCTGCTCATTGGATGTTGACTTAATGCCTTCTTTATCAAATGCTTTAGTGCGTGCCAGAGGTGGCCTTGACTTAGGAATTGAAAACCTGGGAGACTTCTCTGGGTAGAGGGTCTTTGCTTGATTGTAAGGACCGTGCCAAGAATTCCTATTGGGAGATCGCTCAAAGTGTTCCAATTCATCTTGGTTCTCACCAGACCATCGTCGTTTAGACTCCCGGACAAATCCAACAGACCTCAACATGTCCAAAGTAGGAGATTTACTTTTGGAAATATTTTGAACAGAAACCATGGGGTTTGCTTGATTGGCAGATGATCCACTTGTCAGACTTTCAACTTCCATTTCAGTGTCTGAAGAGGCAGACAAATCATCAACCTTTGGTACAGAATCCACTGGTGGAAAAGAGCTTATAAGTTTAGGATTAAATGTCTCTGTTACCACACTCAATTCAATTTCTGGGTTCTTCATAAGGCAATCGACAATAATAGGAGGAACGTTGGGGGACATTGATATTTCATTGCTCTTGACTTTCATTACCTCTGATGAAGAATCATTATTGCTGTAAAACGCATCTGACAGCATTTCAAATATTATTTGATTCCTTGAGTCCTCCTCTTTCACATTTAAGATGATCTGTTTTGGTTCTTCAGTAGACCACATTGTGCTGTTGCAAGTTTCTGCATTATCACCATCATCCTCAATAAAAATGCAACGGGCTTTTACAAGAGGCATCTCTTGATTATTGTCAGGCTCACCACTGACACTACCATAATTCTCATTTATGTCAAAAACTGAGAAAGGATAGGAAAATTTATGATCACGCCCATTCTTGAGGTTAGATTCATGTATCTCTTTATGCTCAGGAAGAGATGGTAGAGATGGTTCACGAACAATTTTGTTAAAAATTTCATTATTTTTGCAATTGTGTTTGATGAATTTATGTTGCGGGCCTAAAGTTTTCAATTGCTCTATGGGATCATTTAACCGTGGAGGTGATCCAGACACTGGACGACTTCTTTTTATCTTGCATGCAATGGCTGAGCTTTTACCTCGTTTAGGTGATGGCGAATAATCAACTTTCTCCAGTTCCTCTGTATGTTGGGAAGTATGATCTTCTGATGATGGAGATGAAATATGCGGTTCACTGAACTCTGAGGTAGCAGCAGAAATTGACATGCCAACTGAAGCATCTAAACTTTGTTCCAGTCGTCTTTTACTTCTATTCCTTGGGGTTGCTTCCACTAATGATTCACAGAAAACTTCTTTGTCATTCATTTTAGTACCAAAAGTTGCAGGAACTTCATCGGCATCTTGATTCAGCTCTTCAGCATCTGGTCTGCCACATAAATGCAACACAAGGTCTGCTGGTTGATGGTCCACATTCATGCCCCAACTGCCAAACGCTTTAGGGCCACAGTCCCCATTAACTGATGGTGCAGTCGATTTTTTCAGAAACAATGATGAATCAGAACACTCTGGAGCAGCTCCTTCAGTAGAAAACACCCCGGCAGGCACATGGTGATCTTCCTCAGAAATATTGCTGCACACTAAAAACCAGCATAATAATGAAAGTAAAGACATAAAATCTATTCTTGTATTTCTGTAAACTAAACATATTCGCAACTCTTGGGCATAAAGTAACGCTAAATCCACTTATTCAGTTAGTGTTTGTGCAGATAACTCCATTCCCTCCTTGACTGAGAATATTACGTTTATCACACAGGATTATTATTTGTGGTCGAAGTACATTTCCACACTGTGTGAGAAGGTGTTAGTAAAGAGATTAAAACAGATTAAAAGCATCTCAAACATTAAATTGGTTGGTTTGCTTCTAAAGAGAAGTTTCAAAACATTTGAAGGTAGTTAATATTTGAAAAGGAGCTCCACAGTTACAAACACATGCTGTAGATAAAAATTGACAGAGAAATATTTTAATGAGGACAGCTCATTATTGAAATAAATTAGGATCAAGACTACTCTTAGTGAGATTTTAGTAGGAAAGATAAGATCTTGAAAGTTTGAAACAAATAGAAGAAAATTAAAAAGCTATACACAGCAAAGTAGCATCATGCAAAAGAAACAGTTTACATGCACAAGGCAGAAGATATTATTCACTACAGTGAATAAAATTTAGGTTGCAAAGAGTACTTTTAAGTCATACGAAAGTACTCACTATCAGCACACAGCCTCTTTCAAAATATTACTGAGCCACAGGGGTTTCTTAAATTATTTTTTTTAGATACTGATAATGCTCCAATTTACACATGCATAAGACATAACCATTTAATAAAAATAATTTATAGAGGGAAGACAAGACTTTATGTATGCTGTAGAAAACTTTCCTCTGGAACAAGTTACACCTATAAAATAGCAGTAGAAACATACCTTTAAGCTTCTCCACCTGAGACTCCAATGACCGATTTTTATCCCTAAGAGTTTTGTTTTCCAAAACCAATTTTTCCAGTTCATGTTGCGCTTCAGTCTTGAAATCATTAGCTACTCTAACAGTCATTAATAAATCAGATTGGAACTGCTGCCATTCAGCACTCTAAAAAAAAATTATCATTTAAAAAAAAAATTTTGAGACACACAAAAAAAATAATAGACAAATCCTGACAGCATACCTCTTCACTACGAAGTCTCTTTTCTTCTGCAAGTTCAGTCTCATGGATTGCTAAACGCTGTTGAATATCAGCGCAGTGCCTCTGGCCTTCAGAAAGAGCAGCTTTCAGCTGTCGTTTGTCTTCAAGATGACATTGTACTTGCATTCTCAACTCGTTTGCTGATTCTTGTAAAGAAGCAAGCTCTGTGGCTAAACCTGATTTCTCTTTGCGGATTTGTTCACACTGATATTCAAGGTCACTCTTAGCACACTTTGCATTATTACGCATAACCTGTACAAAAAAATACACTTGGTTAGGGATTTCTGTCAAGCCAATTTCAAGGGAGCATATAAAGAAAACAAAAAAACATACCTTGCACTCTTCTTGTAAAGAACTAAGTTGCTCACGAAGTTTTGAAACTTCACACTGAGACCGGGATAATTGTTCTTGAAGGGAAGCAACTTGGCTTTCAAGTACGTCTTTCTCTTTCCTTACATTATCCAGTAATGCTTCTATTTCTGACTTGTCTCCTAACTCCCGGGCATGATCCAACTCTTCAATCTGAGAATAAATACAAGAAATAATAAATGCACAAGATGGAAATAAAATATAACGAATGCAAGTTGTCTGAAAATCAAACAAATTCTCATTTCATACCTTAGCTCTAGCATTCTCAAGTAAAGTTGATAGCCTTGAGATTTCAATGTGCCTTGAGCTACTTTCTTCCTTGGCAAGAGCCAATTCTTGATCGAGATGTTTCCTTTCAGCGTGAGTAGCATCAACAGTAGATTCCAAGAGTCTCACTCTATCGGTCAGTCTTGCACATTCAGCAGCATGAGAATCAGTCGCACCTCTTAGTTCAATTAGCTCGGTTGTTAACTCTTCCTGCTTGACTAGAAGGGCTTCCCTCTCTTCCTGCCCACTCTATTAATTTCAAAAACAAGAATAGGTTAGGAACATGGTAATGATTAAAATTAACAGGCAAACAGAGAGAGTGACCAAAACCGACAAACTAACCTTTAGGAGTTCAACAAGCTTCTGTTCTCTTTCAGCTTGTCCATTGGCAGCATCCCCACCGCCTCCAGGTCCACTCCCAGCTTCTTCTCTTAACAAAAGTTCATGCAAAGTATCAACTTTTGCTCGAGAGTCTTCCAGTTTCTCAGTTTGCCAGCGCAAGGATTCAAGAAGAACTCCCTTTTCTTCAGTCAATCGTTCATTTTCTGACTGTTGTTCTGTAAGTTGAGCTTGCAGGTCAGCAAGTTCTTGGAGAGTGGCCTGCAACTCTTCATTTGTGCTGTGAGAAAAAAAATTAAAGTGTGCATAGTAAATTAATTAACTTTTAACACTGGGAGTCACCTGCTCCCTCCACGAGAAAATAAATAAATAGCAAGTTGATACCTGTAATGTGTCTCTTCCATTTGCATTATCCTATCTTGTAAACAAGCTACTGAGACTTCACTGAGACTACTACAGGAATGTTTGTCCCAATCTCGATCACGATCAGGAGTGACGCAAGTTGGGTCCAGGACATCTGGGAGGATTCCGTTAGTACTTGTTGTTGCACATAAGTCATTGACCTTGAATATCGGAACAAGAATGTTAAGGCAAATGTCAATATGCATTATAAAAAGGGAATTACAGCTTGAAGATAATGATCAACTTACGACTCCATTGCTGAAAGAGGCAGGTACGGGTGACTTTTGACGATTACTACTGTTGAGGAGAAGCTGCTCCTTTTCGGTGTCTGACAATGGGCCATTGTGGGCTGCCATGTTTTCAAGGCTTAGTTCCATTCCAGCAGTGTGCTGTTCCTGCAAACAAACAATAACAATTCATCAATTCCATTCCAACTGAGTGAACTGCCATTCAAATATATCGCTCTAACATAACCCACACCCGAACTGGACTCAATCCGAATTCAACAAACAAAGACTGTCGTTCAATTTCAACATCTCCACGAACCCAAATTAGAGCTGCCGATAAAAGAAAGTGCATCGACTGCAGTATGCAGCGGCGCTGCTGTGGGGGTCAACCCTAACCTCACTTCAGCTCCACAACATTGATATGCTGAGCCGTGAACACAACTGGACGAACGAGATAACAACACTGTGCGGGCTTGCGGCCCACTGCAGGCTGAGCTGGGCGCGTTTTATAGTTCGCTGCGACGTGCCAGAGAACGAAACGCCCAAATTTTTAGGACGGCGGAGCCATTTCAGCTTCAAGCTCCAACTGACACGACAGGGGAAGGGATCCGCGCGAAATCGGGGCGCGCTTGAAAAGGCGCGAGGGGCTGGGAAGCTTGAGGGAAAAGGGCGTCATCGCCGCGGTGTACAGTCCGCGCCAAAAACGAGCCTACCTCTTCGCGAATGCTGCACCTCGGGTCGACTGTACAGGTTAGATGCGCCATACTGCGCCGCGCTGCGCCGCCTAGCAGCCTAGCCTTCCTCCACTCCACTCCACTGCAATGCAGGTGCACTAGAATGCACTCACCCGTAGCCGCGCCACTTCTTGTCGGAGGGACTGCAGCTCGCCCTGGCAGCCGGACAGCTCCTCGACGCGGGCCTGCAGCTGCAGCTTGTCGCGAGACACCTTCTCCAGCTCGCCCTGCACCGACTCCAGCTCCAGCTCCATGGGGCTGACGCTGCCGTTGTGATTGTTATTGATGTTGTTGCTGTTGTTGTTGTTGTTGACAGCGGGCGCGGCCGCGGATGCATGCGCCGGGCTGGGGTTCGCGTTGCCGGCGTTGCCGTTGGAGGCCGCGGAGGCCGCGATGTTGGTGGAGGCGACGTCGGGGGCCGCGGCGTTGGCGCGCGCCTTGCTGCCGCGGAGGTGCAGCTGCTTGGGCAGGTGGAACTTGTGGCGCTTGCTGTCCAGGCTGGAGACGCTGGTGGCGCCCTTGAGGGCGGGCTGCGGCTCTGCGTGCGGCGCCAGGGCCCCTAGGGCCGCGCCGGGCTGCTTGGGGATCTCGGCCGAGCCGAAGGAGCGCACCAGGACCTCCTGTTGTGGCGGCAGCTGGCGCGGCAGGGACCCGTTGGGGTTGGCGCCGGGGTGCGGGACGCTCTGGACGACGCCCTGGACGCCCCCCGGGGCGGCGGCGGCTGGGGGCGGTGCCAGCGGCGCTCCGGAGGGCGGCGGCGCGGCGGCCCCGGCCTGCCCGGAAGGCCCGGAAGGCCCGGATCCGGAGGCACCCCTCTTGCCGGAGCGCGAGCCGCTGGGGCCGCCGCTGGGAGGTCCATGACCCCTACGGAACAGCCAATTGAGCTTCATCATAGTTTGTTATGCTGAAGGTTCGGTTCGGGTCCGCCTTCGTGGTCAGTCTCTTTTTAATCCCGGTTTAGTTCGTTAATGCGCGCCTCTCATCGCAGTGCGGCAGCGCGGCCCAGTCCCGCGAGGATTAGAGGGTGGGTTAGCAAAGGCTGCTAGCGCCACTTAGCGCCGCCAACGCATGACTGGCTGACTGGCAGGCCCACTGCAATCTGGAAAGGAAGCACAAGGCGGTTAGACGGTTACACGGTTCGGGTAAGCGGGATGGCAGTAAGAGAAGTCGGGGCGGGGGCGGGAAGGGGCACGCCGGAGCACGACGTCCTGGAGAAGGTGATGTCCAGGCAACGATTACAGAAAGGCGTTGTTACCTTATTCGGCAATGTTATGGTTAAGGAAGGACGAGGGTCGAAAGGAGTGCAAGCAAGTACAGTAGCACGTTGACACCTAGCATGGCAAAATCCAATCCCTCTACCCCCCCCCGTACACACACACACACACACACACACACACACACACACACACACACACGTACACTAACTAGGCCAAAGTCAAGGCCGCGCCAATCGAGGTCAGCTCAACTGCAAACTCGCCGGCCGCCACACGCCACACAAAAAGTACTGTTCGTCATTACAACAATGATTTCAAGGCCGGTCGCGTTTCGGCGAGTAGTTTCCCCCTAGGCTGAATCGCACCAAAGGCGGAGCAATGCTTTTGCAGTTTGCAGCCAGATGCTGCACCGCGCCTTTTGGGTTTGTTTGGTTTGGTTCCGCCGGCCACGCGCGGCCAAAGTCCGCACGCCGCAGCGCGCGCTTCGCATCGCGAGGGCCGGACTCGTGTTCGCGTGCTTCGCGTGTCGCACACGCTGCACACGCGCGCGCTGAGCCCGAACAGAGTGGAGCCCGCCCTGTGGGAACTTCGCACGAGCCAAAACGCTCTGCTCGTCAAGACGCGGCGCAGACGAAGCTCTATACCAACTCGTGACAGAGCGACGAAGCTCTGAGTTTAGCGGGCTGAAGAGTGTGCACTCCAGGCGTGTGGAGTGTCTTTAGTTTGCCTGAGGAGCCTCTGCCTACATCCTATTTAGTTTCAGCGCTCCAGCCGCACCGGACATTTTGGTCGTGAGGGTCCAGGCCCTCGGCCAGGCCCCCGCTCGCTCCAGGCACGGCCTTCGCGGTCCTCCGCGGCTGAGCCTTGTTTGGTTACGTGACGACAACAATGATCAACTCCCGCTGGGCGAAGTCCCACCACACCACGGAAACGGCCTTTGCCTTTAATCCGACAAAAGGAGCTGCCTGTCTCTGTCGCACTCGAAGGGCTTCCCCTTCGGTGTGCGAGAGAGACAGCGCGACGAGGCGACTGAGCCGGAATGGGCGGAAGGAAGGCAGGAAGGGTTGAAGCGGTCGGGTACTTTTCGAAAGGCAGCTGCGGCTCCGGCTCTGGCAGTGGCTCTGCCAGTCCGACGCCTTCCCGGCAGCAACAGCTGTGCGGCCGGCCGGGCCGCCCGGCAGGAGAAGGGGAGGGGCCGTCCCCAAAGGACGACGAGGACGTGGAGGACGCCGAGGACGTGGGGAGGCAGGGCAGGGCAGGGCAGGGGGTCGTCTTGGGATGATGAAAGTACACGGCGAGACAATGCGCGAGGAGCCGGCTTGTCTATACACTGCCAGACAAGGCGCTGGTTGCCGCGGTTACCTCACTGAACGTCGCTCTCGAGGCTTGAGGGTGGTCTCGAACGGCGGGGATTAGGTGCCGAGCGAAACAATAAAGGACACACACGCGCCCAGCACGAAAACCACCGCCACGCCGCATGCCACCTGTACGTGTCCCAAAGATTGAAGTCTCTCTCTACCTGTGTCCCTGCTTCCCTGTTTGTATATTCGAGCTCGCTGGCCATCCACCAGAAACAGCCGTCGTCCCATGTGTTGACTCACTTCGCCTGCTCCAGGATGTGAGTGTGCGCGCGGCCACAGCAGCCTGGGATCCAGGATGTGCATGCATGCAGTGCCAGCAGTGCCAGCACCCAGGCGGCGCAGTCACACCCGTCATACTCGACGTCACGTGACGGTCACGTGTCGAGTGACGCGTCACGTGACGTGTCCGTCATGGTCACGGCGCCACCGTGGCGGGGAGCAGCGACGTTTAAGACCACCGGGTAGGCAACCAGACGACAGCACTGCGTCCGGGTTGCATACCCGTCAGGCGCCGTGCCGCGCGCAGCGCCGCGCGTCCCGGGTCCAAGAACCTTGGCCGTCAAACGAGTCGTTTCCCCGCGGCGCGGCCCGCGGCCAGCGGCCCAGCGGCCCAGGCCCAGCTGACGGAGGCTGGAGGGCACGGCGAGGCTGATCTGAGATTGGACGTGCGGGCCCGCTTTCCCTTTCCCTGGACACACCGGCCTACTTGGCCTGGAGTAGGGCCCGGCTGGCTGCCTGGCTGGCCGCCTGGCTGCCTGCTTGGCTGCCCGCCTGGCTGGAGCGGCGCAGATGGCCCACGGCGGTCCAAGGCACGGCCAGGGAGGCCAGGGCACGGCCAGGGCATCAACGGCGTTAGTAGGTCACGCTGCGCGGCTGCGCGGCTGCGCCATGGCTGCGCTAACGCTGGGGAAGGGTAGGGAAGGGCAGCGCGCTGTCTCTCTCGCACCCCTGCGGCACCCACGGGGCGCCAGGCGAGTGCGAGGGAGACAGAGGCAGCCTCCAGCCGCGTGAGCTCATCGCTGCAGCGCCTGGCTTCCCTGGGTTAGGCCGGCCTGGGCTGCGCTGGGCTGCGCCTTCCTATCACTGATAGCGCTATCGGGGTGGCGACTGGCTGCTCGCCGGCCAGCGCGCCAGCGACCGTCTCCACCGCGATCGGGATGCAGTCGGGCAGGCCCCGCAGGCCCGCAGGCCGTCACCGTCCAAACACGCACAGCGCACCCAGCAGCTCCTGGCCGAGGCGTTTACACGACGCTGGAACACTCACAGCGCATCTCTCTACACACTCCGACTCTCTCTCACTCACACACATACGCGCGTACCCGCCGACGAGATAACGTGTTTGAACAGCTGACGTGTCGTCTGCGACTTGCTACCCGCTTGCTTGCTTCCTTGCGACCGTTAGTTTCTGCGCATGTAGTAGGAGAAGCAGATAAGCGGTGGAAAAAGGGGGAGGGGGATGAACAGGGGAGGACTTCGCCGATGGTCTTGGTCAAAGGGGTGGCGGACACTGCACTGACACGCACCAGAGTTTGAACCAACGGCACATCTGGAGAACTTGGCGGCCTGTATCCGTTTTCACTGGTTTCACTTGCACTGCACCAAAAGGCCGGTATCCTGAGCCATCTCACAGACACTTTTCACTCGCGAGCGCGCGCTGCCAGGGGGATTCGAACGCGCGTCCCACGTCGTCGCGGTGGCGTGCCGCCTTGCCGCGTGCGGTTTGTTGCGGTACTCCGACGACGGCGTCCGCGGCACGGTCTCGCGGTGTCGCGGTCTCGCGGTGCGACGCGCTGCCGGGCGGAGCCTTGCCTCCTCACTGCTCAGCGTGCAGCCGCCGACTCGCTTCGCCTTCGCTCCGCGCTCCGCTCCACCTCCCCGTCGAGTCCCCCTCGGCCTCCCCTTCCCCGCCCCGCCCCGCCCCGCCCCGCCCCGCCCCGCCGCGGCACGGCGGAGCTAAGCGGAGCGCGGCGAGCAGACGGTAAGGCTGCGGAGCTCACCGGCTAGCCGCGGCTCCGCGGCTGGAGGATGGAACACGGTGGAACGAGAAGGAGGAGGAGGAGGGCCCCATTAAGGTGCGATCAAGGTGTTTAAGGGGGTAGGCTGAGGTGCACTCTTCCTGCAGTTCGGCTGCCAAATTCACTCCCAGGGGCCTCGAATTGGTGAAAGGTGGACTGCAACCTAGCCAACCCCACACGGAGACGTTGAACGTTCTCGGAGGGCGAAGACCTCGCCTCGCCGAAGACCCCCTTGCAGAGCATTGGCAAGGCTGCAGAAAGCAGCAGGGCTGCGGGTTTGGTGAGCGGGAAGGACCTCCTCCGGTGGACATCCTCTCCGGCCGGCCGGGCAGGACACCTGTCCAGCCCGCCCCGCCCCGCCCCGCCCCGCCCCGCAGAGAAAACCCGCAGTGCAAACCCGTTGGCAGTTCCAGTCCGGGCGGGCAGGGCGGCAGGACTACACGACTCGATGATGATGGAGGAGTCCAGGTTCAAGGATGCATTCCTTTCATTTTCCGTCGCGCGCTGAAACGGCGCGCCGACAAGCCGAAATGCCACAATGAATGAAAATTGAAGCGAAAGCTGTGCTGCCCTACAGCAGGCTGATTCCGAGCGTCATTTTCGACGGCTCTGTCTCTCTCGCACTCACGGGGCGTGCCCTATAGGTGGGAGAGAAACAGAGCGACGAATACGACTCTCGGAATCAGTCCGAAGAAAAATTCAAATACGTCGGAGCTAGTTATGGCCGGCAGGCCGCCACCGCAGCACGGCGCGGCCTCCCGGCCCGGCAACCTGCAACCAATCTGGAAACGGGCCTTGGGCGGACGGGGAGAATGACTAGAGCGTGTGGGTCCGGCCCGTCCGGCCAGGAGCTCATCATCGCTCATCACCTCACCGCACTTCGCCCCTCCTGTACGTACGGCAATTACGTGTCCTGCCGGAGTCCGGGCGCCGCACAGTGGGCCAGGAGACCGGTGGAGGCGGACAAAACTCCACACGCGTTTTGAGCTCCAACGTCGCTAAATGGGACTCGAACCGAACGTGTGACCCCACCAATGGATTGCTCTCCGAACGAGGAATCCATTGGTGGGGTCACACGATCGGTTCGAGGCCTGTTTAGCGACCC